GTAAAGCTATTTGCTGTTGTGTATGACTATAATTTGGCTGACAAAGTCACTACATGTCACACCCCTTATTAATTGGTTCTTGGACAACACTCTTTACTTCCAATCAAATTTGAAGTAACTTCTTTAAGAGTCACCGTGGAAACAATAATGTCTAAAGATCAGATTTTAAGTAAGAGTGGATATGCTCTTGAGAAGTTAGAAGAAATGAGGGTGCAATCAACTGTCCATTTGAAACGCCAACAAGCAATCACGAAGAAATCTCATTACAAAAAGCTCAAGCATATGATTTTACTTTATGATTACATGTTTGTTCACTTCCCGGGTAAGTTCCACACTTGTTGGCTAGGACCGTATGTGGTGCAAGTAATTATTCCAAATAGTTTGGTTCAAGTTGCGGATATAGAAGGAGAAATTTTTCTAGTGAAGTTGCATTTTGATAGACTCAAAAAAGTATTTTAATACTCTATAGTGTTGATGAGTACGCTTCACAATTTAAGAGTAAGCTGTGTGAGATGATATCGGATGATTGTACATTTAGAGCCGAGAAGTAGTGTCTCATTTTTTTCCTCATGTGCAGATGAGAAGTAAGTTTGTGATTCTTTTCTTGTGTGCTGGTGAGGTAGTATTCTAAGGGGTCAACTTCCATTGAGTTATTTGTGATCTCAAACTTTACTTACGATGTATCCGTAAGAGGTAGGCTAGGAGATTGAGAAGTGTACAATGTGTTTGAATTGGTCAAATCTAGACGGAAGGTAGCATATCCAGGAGACATCTTGGTGACAGCAAGGTGTTAACCACCGAGAAGTTGAGTGGAGTGAAGATAAATTTAATGATGACATTTCTTAAGTAGACTTATCCTTTTCATGACAGAAATAAATATATTGAATGTCAGTTACAGTTTAGCATGTTTCAAGTGTTTTCTTTCCTCGTAAGCATACTTCTAGTGAATCCGGTTACATGAGGAGATAACTATCATCAAATAGAGTGTTATTGAGGATGATACTTCAAAATAAGTTCATGATATAGTGTGGACATGTTTTTTGTTGTTGTGATTAATTTGAGTGTGTACGCTCTCGTGTGTAAATAACATGTCAATGATGTAGACTTTATGGCGATACATATTCACATAACAAGACGAACATAACTGATAGAAATAAATTATGTTCTATAAATTGCGGATATGCAATTGCACATCCGCAATTTATAGAATTTAGAAAAACACAAATATAATACCTTTTTCAAAAATTCTTCAACGCATCAATCAAAAGTTTGCATGATCGCATTCGAAGATGCATTAATGACAATGAGATCTACACTAAAGAGATGAACTGCAGTGAGAACATTAATATGCTTTGTGAAAGTTACAAAACAAAAAACTGTTGAATTGTTTCAAATCTAAATATTGAATTAAAAAAAATCAAAAATTGAAATTTATTGTTTGATGAAATTCAATTAAAAAATTATCAAATCTTGCAAAAATCATCTACAATCTATTGTATTGTTGATTATTTCAAAAATCTAACTTTTTTCAAATTGTTGTTGATGGAACAACAAACAATGAGTTCTTTGAAGATTGAAAAGTAGATTGTTCTAAACTTCTATCGATAAAAATGACGCAAGAAAAAAAATTTGATCAAATCAATGATTGTCCAATTTTCTTCTTTGAAGGTTATCAAAGACAGTATCTCAACAACATCATCGTCCTTTGAGTTGTTGGTACTCTGTAAAAAATTGTGCTTTTCCAGTACTGATTTCACCATGCTAACATAATCAACATGGTCGTCGCTAATAGCACCAACAACATCAATTTCAGTAAGATTTTTGGCAACTTTTTCAATACTTGTGTCATCAAGATTTGAAACGTTGGCAAAGAATGATTGAGTTCAATTTTTTGCAAAATTTTCACTAAATCATCCACTGCATGATTTGAATTGAAAGTAGATCGAATTGATATTTTGCTTACAATTCAAGTTGAATACAAGAGGTAGACAGTTGACTTTAAAAAACACCGCTTAATAATAGTATCATTGATACTATTTGATGTTGATTTGATCTAGTCAAATACATTGCGCAGGTTTGTATGATCATTGATTGGAAACTGAAACTGAAATGCACGTTCACTCGTTTGCCACATCTCATAATCTGATATTAGATGATTTAATTATCACAAAAAAAATTTGCTTTGAAAGATTGAATGATTTTTTGATCAAGAGGTTGACATTTGTTGGAAGCATTTGGTGATTAACAAATGATGCAAAGATCTGATCTAAAAAATAATTTAGATTGATCCGGATGTATATAAGATTTTGGACGTACAAATATGAGATGAACAATTAATTTGAACTATTTAGAATATGCAATTACGATTCTTGAAATTTTTGTTGTTGATATGTACACACATGTTAATTACATTTAGTGCAAACTCAAAGAACGTTCAATTTTTCAAACGAGACTTACACAAGGGAATCACGTTCAATAAATTCGTGTTCCATAAGCATCAAACCGTATTCTCCAAGGAATGAATTTGGCTTGATTCAATTGTGAATGTTCTTTGTTAATTCAGTTGTGATAACTTTGTGTGTGTGAGTATAACATGTTAACGATGTTGTTTGTATGACAGTAAATATTCACACAAAATTGTATTTGTGAAGCATACGCACATATAATGTATATTGACAGATTTTAGCTTGAACATAGATAATTTTGAACGTCTTACCAATGTTCAAAATATTCTTCAAAGTACGTGGATGAACACATTTCATGATAATTTGCACAATAAATTTTTCACTATAAGTGTTAATTTCAAACAATATTGTGATTCGTTATTTGCTTTGATTGACTTCACAATCATTCTTATAAACTGTGCAGCATGATCTTGATGATGTTGTGCGATGTTGTAAAACCTGATCATTAATGTTGATAATGCATTTGATGGATATATCGATCAACATTTTGTAAATTTGATATTTACATTTTTCAACCTACATGAGATTATCCAATTCTTTGCACCTTGTTTTATTGGATGTTATGATGCGCTTTAGATAATTCTCGAGCCATCAATTCGACACACAAAATTTTTGAAGTAAAATTGTATCTAATGATGTCAAATAATTGTTGTTGTTGACTCTCTGACTCTTGTTTAGGAGCTATTGGTCGACGCCGGTGCCCTGGAACAGATCGTTCAATGCTTGAGACGAGAAGCGAGCGTGGCGAAATCAACTGCCGCATTGCTCCTTGAGTTGTTGGAAGGGAATGACAGCATGAGTCTCAAAATTGTGCAAGAGCGTAGCTGCATTTTGCTGTTGGTGACTCTACTCAATGGCAAAGACACCGAGGCTGCGCAGCTGGCGAGACTGACTCTGGACAAGCTCTCCGATGAAAGAGACAACGTCGTGGCGATGGCCAACGCTAATTGGTGCTCACCTCTCGTGCGATGTCTGAGTGATGTCAAATCGTCCGCAAAATCAAGCAAAATATTGTCTTGTAAAAACAAAGACTTTTTCTCGAGCATCGCGCCAGTCTCATTAAACGTGGACGCATCGATCTCAACACACCATGTTTGTAAGAAGTTGAACTTGTGTTGATATAAAATTGCGTTGATTCAAGTACATATACTAGATGCACCTTGAGCTGCTGGTGGATAAATAAGTGTGTTGGATTTTATTTTATCTTGAAGTGTTCAATGTGTTGATGTCAAATTAGATTTATTTTTTAGTGATGAATTTGCTGATAATCACATAAATCATTTTTGGGAACTGTGAATTTTGGAGAATAACATTGTAATATTGAACAGGAAATAAAATCCAAAGAAATATGTGAAAACGGTATGATTAACCATATGAACAAAGTACTTGTGAGTGTATTGAACTAAAGTTAAGATGGTCATGAATTGCACATGGCTCCAGGCTCTAAATGTTTAATAAAATTCACATTTACAAACCTCCTAAACTAATGTCTACTGGTGACTCTAAATTACCCTAATTTAGGTGCGGGCCTAGAGTAACCAGGCTGGCCCATGAATGAAACAAGATGGGTATGGTATAAGTCACCAATACACTCACAATAGAAAGTATATCATACAAAAGTGCAACGAACATATCCCAACTACATAGAATAAATGATACACAAACAATGTCTAGTTATAGGAAATCAGAGCCGGATGATTGCATTTGCAAGCCTTATTCTATAATTCTGAACTACGATGCAATCATAACGAGTCTTGTGGTAATTACGTATCGCAGGCGGCCGAGGTCAGAATATAAAAGAGTAATTGTGGGAGCTGCATAAGTGAAGCAAAACTCACGGAAGAGTGGTCGATGAAGTCGGACTGACACCTTCGAGATTATTCACCCCCAGAATAAACCGAAACCTTAGACTTTCATCTCCGGAAAACGAGAAAAGACCGACTACATCAGCCCATACATCGATCTCGGTGTTGAAGCCCAGCACCATCCAAAAGAGGAAAGAAGGAAAGAGCCGTGGTAGAGAGAAACTCGCCATACATACCAAATTAGGTACCATACGAACGCGGGTAAAAAATCAACCCCACGAGTTCTTCCCTACCGCAATCGGGAATATACCGTGCCCGCAGTACGGTGCGGAGCGTGCCCCGACCGGAACAAATCAGCATCGCTTCTGGCACGCGCAAGTATCAACACGAGGCGTAAAGTCAAGGAAAGGCACGAGCCGAGCCGCAGGACAGGACAGTACAGGGACAGGGAGAGGGACAGTTCGGTTCGGGACAAGTGCCAATTCATCGATCAATAGTCAACCGACGCGACGCGACCGGAGTCACCGGATCTGACCCGACCCGACCCGAACGTACCCGACCCGACCTGACTTGACCTGACCTGACCTGACCTGAGTCTGAGTCGGAGTCTGAGTCGTGAGTAGAGTGAAGACGAGGGGTCTGTCTGTCTGGGCACTTGAGGATAACTTGCTGGCCGTGTCACGCGGTATGAATGTGCCGTGCCTGGCATACATTGCGGGCAGGTGAACGCCCGAAATAGGGCTGTCTCGTATTTCTGCTCCGATCAGATCTGCGATGCTCTTTCTCTCGAGTCTCTGCTCGTCGTAGTCTGGTAAGTTAACGGTCCTTGCTCGCGAGAGGGCGAGAGACGGACAAAATCGATCGCGAACGTGAAGAATCGAGTCGAGTCGAGCGTCTCGTCTCGTCTGCAATTCGTCGCGATGGCAATTGGAGTGGTGGAATAATTTGCAGCGCCCATGGCATTGCTGCGCTTTGCTGCACGGGTCGATGGGTGCTCGGGTGCAGAGTCGTAGGAAGGAGGAGGCCTGCAGGCAGGGGCGGGAAAATCTCTCGTCCGATCCGATCGGTGACTCGGGGCGCCGGACGATGAAATCTCGGGATGCAGGGGAGGACGGTTTTCTGATTTCGATTCGCTGGAGTTTGTGTCTGTCCTAGTCGGTCACGGGCCGAGCGGACGAGCGAAGGCCTGACTGGGCGATTCGGAAGAAGAGGGAGGAGTATGATGGTGGAGGGGAATTGTTAAATTCTGGGAGGAGGTGAAGAGAATGCGGAGATCAGGACAGCCCGGTTGGGATCACCGGCAATTTTCTTCTTCGTGTCGTGGAGTTTTAATTTCCTACACGGCCCGAGTGGACGAGATTCCAGGGAGGGAAGAGAGCATTGTTTTGAATCTCTGCGTCCAGAAAGTGGAGTAGGCAGGATGGCAGCTACGAGAAAGCTTCAAGGGGAGATTGACCGGGTTTTGAAGAAAGTGCAGGAAGGCGTAGATGTCTTTGACGGCATTTGGAATAAAGTTAGTCCTTATTCTTTCTGTCACACGCTTTCAGTTTCAGATCAAAGTCGGAGGCTAATGCTTGAATCATCAGTTTGCATCCGATTTGTCACAATGAGCGGTCCCGAGGCTGCACAGGCTCTCATGGGACAATTTTTATTTTTTCTTCTCGTCCCCGCTAGCGTCTGTCAAAGAGCGGTAGTTCTCACATTTCTTTGTATCTGGATTCGAGTATAGCAGCATCAAATCACTGTATTACGTGATTCTCCATTACTGAGATTCTGCGTGATTGTCACGAGGTGCAAAATATCATCTACGTTTCCGAGAGAATATGTTCCAGTTCGTTTTTTGCATCACTACCCGTCTTTCCCCTCTTTCCTTTCTTATGATACCAATGTTATCGCAGTTCCTTATGCATATACATGATCGATCATATATGGACGATGTTCTTCCACCCCTCAAGTGTTGTAATTTAGTTTTGTAATATTCTCTCTTCCCCCAAGATTTTAATTCCTCGTTATTTTGTGGATCTTGTAATGCACGGAGAATTAATGCACCGTATTCCTTCTTCATTGTAAGCAGGTATATGACACTGAGAATGCCAATCAAAAGGAAAAGTTTGAAGCGGATTTGAAGAAGGAGATTAAGAAGCTTCAAAGATACAGAGATCAGATTAAAACATGGATACAGTCTAATGAAATTAAAGATAAGAAGGTAAGCAAGGAAACGGGCTTCTATTAGTTTTTCCGTATCACAACGCCCTGGGATATGGCGGGATTCAAGTTAACAGCTCCTTTTCTACTTGTGTTTATTACTTCATGGTATTATTTGTTACCTGTAAATCAAACAAATAAATAATAGATAAATAGAAGCACACTTAAAGTGAAGATCAGAATAAAGATTGTTCACATGATTCTCAATTTCCTGCGGGATTTAGGATAATTGGTGGTACCAAAATTGAAAGTTTCCTTTTGAGAGTTGTTTACGTCTCTGGCTTCTATCTTCAACTCCATAAATACTAGATTATATCCAGTTCGTTTCTGTCAATTCCAGTTACCTGGCTAGTGTAGTTCACGGTTCCATGCGTTTTGTTATCCTTGTATAGTGGCATGTGATCGCTTGGATGAGTCTAAATGGATTGGCTATCCTTACAGATATCATTGCCTCTAATTGTTGTACAGATCCAACTGAATCTTGTCAGATTGTACACTATGGGTTACTGCTCTGCTTGACTACGGACTGCATGTGATAGCTTGTCCTTTCGACATGGCTCTGTTGCTAGGCTAGCAGGATGATCAATAATATTGTTCCGAACAGATTAGTTTAAATTGAAGGCATTTGTCTTTCGTAGATTGCAAGAACCTCACTTCTGACTCCTCATAGCTAATCAGGACTATTAAGGGAGACTCACATACTGAAAATTTAGAGCAAAATAAAATCTTGGAGACTGGCAAAATTTGATCAGCACACCTAGATTTAACACCTGATGTGGTGCACATAAAAACAAGGTTCCCTGATCTTGCTTATTATCCGTTCTTGAAGAAAAAGGTATATCACGAGCTCATGTGATTCCTGCAGATATATTTAAACTTTGAAATTTTTGTGTCCAACAAGCAGGCTTTACTAGAAGCGCGGAAGGTCATAGAGCGAATGATGGAGCGATTCAAAGTATGTGAGAAAGAAACAAAGACAAAAGCTTTCTCCAAGGAAGGACTTGGTCAACAACCCAAAACTGTACAGTCCGAAAACCCTCATTCTAAAAGCAATCAGTGTCGGCTTTTCTACGTAATCATGTGAGTGATCGCAACAAATTGAACGAGTGAATGTCACTACTGTCGTCAAAACAAGGTCGCTGAATTAATTATATGTTAGTGGGGAAATTATAGACTACGATTATGTTAGACATAATTTATTATAATGTGTTCTCATCTCCAAATTCTCTGGATAATATTTGGAAATTTCATCAATTTCTTGCTTTTACCTCTTTGGTCTTGATGATCCTGCACACATGAGGTTTTCATTACTCTGCTTGAGCTTTCTGCGATGGCTCACAACTTGGTATCGTCGTGCACAGGATCCTAGAGAAAAAGCCAAAGGAGAATCACGCGATTGGCTAAACACTATGGTCTGATCACAACTTCTTATTCCTGCTAGAGTTTCCTCAGCTGCATGAAGTATGGTTTGATGCAGTACATTGGTTTTATACAATTAGTATGTCTGACGTGCTAGTACGCTGTTAAAACAAGATATAGATCCAAGTTTGGCCCTTCGTTTTGGATGTCCAGAAGTGCTCATGATGATAATTGAAGTTGAGTTTTATCAGTTGTATTTAATATCCAGCTCAAGGCCTCAACTGGCCCTCAAGATTGATGGCCTGGTTGTATAAATTAATGTCACATTTTTTTATACATAATGTTTCTGCTCAAGGTGGAAGAAGTAAATCATCAAAGATTATACATTGTTGTTTTTTTCCGAATAACAGATCCATTTTATATCAGATTGAGAATGTTGGTAGACTAACACAAGTCGCTCCGTTCACGTTTTTGTAGGTCGGTGACTTAGAACTGCAAACAGATGCATTTGAAGCAGAAATTGAAGGTCTTGTAGTAAAGAAAGGCAAGACAAGGCCTCCTCGCCTGGTACATTCCTTGCTCAGTATTTTATTTTCTGAGTTGCCCCTTTGTCCTCTATAGTCTATACAAAGACAAAGTGTACACAATCCGTATGCACAACATACATACAAATCTGATGCATTTACAATAGCCAATATCCTTATCCCGGAGTGACAATCATCTCTAATTGTTCTTTCTGTGAAGGTTGGATGTACTTTCGAATGGTTTCAAAATCACAGCAAATCGAGAGATTTAGAACCGATGTATCTATTTTCTATCTATTTTGTCACGTTTCCTAATTTGAAGATTAATTGTTCCTGTGGTTTAATACAGATGCACTTGGAGGAGTCCATAGCAAGGCATAAGCAGCATATTCTCAAGTTGGAACTACTCCTCCGTTTATTGGACAATGATGAGTTAAGCCCAGAGCAGGTCAATGACGTTAAGGACTTCGTACAAGACTATGTAGAGCGCAATCAGGTACTTATCATAAGGACGCTGCAGATATTTTATATTCACCATATATAAGGCATTTCCTACCTCTGGAAGTTCACTCTCTGCATACAGTCACTTCAAGACTTAATTTTCGTTATTTACTGTTGTCATTTTCGTTGGGACTATACGATTTATAGGCTTATGATTGAGTCAACATTCAGGGTGTTCAGTGCTTCTCGCCTCGCCAAATGGAAAAGAGAACTATGTATGCAGACTAAGACCTTTTCATGTTCTCTTGTTTGTCATGCATCTAGATTGTTTTCCTATAATAGGCGTGCTTGTTCTGTTTTATTATATAATTATGTGCCTTCGTACGCTGTTAAGCTTGTTCGTTAATTTACTAGCTTTTAGATTAAATATAGAGTTTGGAACTTGGAAAATAGATCCTTAGACCTGATGTCACCGGTGCCTTTGTTTAGAAGATAAATATTTCATGCAGTTGACATTTCCCGCTCATACGAAACATATTCTTATCAAAATCACCACACACGAGATTGACCACCCTGTGATCTTCTTTTCCAACATATTTATAATGTCTCCCCTGAAATTCTGCTCAAGTTCTTGCAGCCTTGTTAAGGTTTTACATCAGCACTTGATTATCCTCGTGCTTTAGACTATCGGCACAAAACTTGAGGCATGTGCACGGCACATTCAGAGGATCATGGGCATGTCACTCAGGAATTATCAGGAGTGCTAATGATTGAGATGCATTCCGGAGATACCATCCACAGTAGTTGGGATAAATTCAAACCTTTTTTTCTTTTTCCCAGAGACATTCAATTCGTTGTCACATATTTCAAACATATTATGTATATGTATTATATTCCTTGTTCTTGTCACTGTCTGTTCTTTCTGTCTTGGGCGTGTAGACTCATCATTTCATCCATTTGGCAGTGAGTCATTTACCCGACTTTACCTCTTATTTTAAAATAGTCTGCTTTCCTTCAGTTGAAGTCTTCCTAACCACATGCTACAGCCGAAGAAATACATCAGTTGATCAATTGATCCTGTGAATTGATTGATGTTAAGGATGATTTTGAGGAGTTTGCGGAACCGGATGATCTCTATCAATCTCTACCCCTCGATAAGCTTGAGGCTCTTGAACTTTTGGATGCTGTTCCAATAGCACCGCCAGCTACTGTTGTGAAGGAAAAGGTGGGACCCCGATCACTGCTCCCCAAAGTTATTGACAATGCTCTGTACATCACATGGCTTAATTGACTCGTCTACTCGCAATGTGGACTTAAACAGTTTGTGTGATTTCACCCCAGGCACCTGTAACAGCAGCATCTGGAGCATCTGTGGGCTTGAAATCTCCCATTCCTATTCCTCCGACTCAACAGCAATCTGTAAGTTTGTTCCTTCAAGATATATTGTACGCGTACATGGCCTTGATGGATGTGGTCAATATAGACATACAAAAAAAGACGTAATCTGGACAGCACGGCATGAATACGTAAAGCTATCTAACCTCTTATAATTTAAGGTTCACTCAAATTTGCAAGGAGATTGTGTGGATGTTTCAGAACAGTCGCTTACTTGTTAGTGTGCACTTCTGAATTGCTTGAAAACAAATAATCTGGTAGCAATCTGAATTGAATGCAGACTCTTAATCACTAGCCGATGGTTGAATTTAAACCTTACCCTGCGTGTCGTGCACATGAGTCTCACATATTATTGTAAGCAACTCATTTAGAGCAAATTTGTACATAAGGGCATGACAACATCTCAAGGTCTATGACCTCATTTACCATCTTAATGTCTTCTACTGTCTGAAGGCCTTAGGTCTAGAAGCTGATTGATTCTCCCGAACTTTCACTTGTGATTTGTAGAGGAGCGAGAGCCAAGAGGATAACCTGGATAAACCTGGAGAGGAGAGGAATTGAGGGATGTGATGGAGGTGTGCATGACCGAGAGAGAAGTGTTGGCTGGTAGATGGTGTGCTGAGCCACGTAGACCAGGAAATATCAAAAGACTTGGATTGGCGAGTTTGACGATGTTCATCATGTGAAGTAGGATGTAGAGATACTCTGTGCATTCATTGTATCATATGTAGCTTGACAAGCATAATAAAAAAAGGAATCCCATGTGAAACTTGATATTGGTCTTATATTTAGATTTTATGTCCGTCATAAACAGGGTGCAGCAACTGCTGCAGTTTCACTTTTGCAACACATTCCTTCTTCATCACTGCTGCTCGAAGAGGGTGCTGTTCAAGAATCATATGGTGAGTCAGGGTCTGGAACACCACCTACACAATCAGGCAGGGAGGGTTCTCCCACAAATACTTCAAACCTATATGCTGGCGCATTTGTGACTGGAGCTGCACTTCCGATTCTTCCACTTGGGCTGGGTTCTGTTGCCCCCTCCATGAATTCCTTTCTTGCCGTTCCCTCAACGAGAGCCGTTACCACCTCTCAATCTACAATTAGTCAACCCGTTTCAACTACAGTAGGGGGTCATTCGAAGGAGGAAGAGTCTGGGAATGTGATTCGGAGGACGATGCTCGGTGTGGGAGACGGAGGTTTAGCTAGAACGGTAGGAAGGAGTTCATTCCTAGCCCAATCTCCGCCAATTTCCGTCGTGGGATCATTGTCTTCTAGTGCCATTTCCAGCAGTGATGGGAAAGGGTCTACTGCTGTTAATTCGGATATGGAACGAACAGGTGCGTCAGGGGATGAAAGAATAGGCAGTGGAGGGCTTGCACAGCAGCTTTCGACTCCATTTGGGAGCCAAAACCGAGTCTTTGTTCCATCAGGAGGTATTGGTGAAACTGCGTCAGGACAGGAGGGGGCTCTCATTGGTGGCAGGATGTTTTCTACGTCTGTTGGAAGTCACTGGAGGCTACCAACTGCAAGTACGTTTCAAAACCAAGCGGAGTTGGTAAGCATCCATTGTCCCTTAGACATCAATGTTTTTCGAGTCTACACAGGAATCAGATTGGCGGCTGTTACAGTTGGCATGTGTGATCTATTTATCAGCCTTGTCAGTGAGTGGACAATTTCTGTAGAATCAGCTGTAAAAGTTTGAAAGTATAATGATTTATTTATTTTCTTTTGGAAAATTTTGGTCAGAAAGAAATATTGAGAGATTTGGGGCAAGGAAAATTGCAATCTTGTTTCTTAGCTGTCAGTTTCCAGTTTCTTAGAATTGCGTATATATGTTGACATTAGTGTCTGATAGTGGGCATGCTAATGTATCACATGTGTAAATAAACCAATGCATTATTTGCTTAGTAGTACCACTGACAATCAGTTTATATTAGTATGTTGTGATTATCATAATAATTCTTGATACCTTAATTCTTCAGATCATATAAGAAGACATAATTGGGAGCGATAGGATTCAAAAAACGTTTTCCCAAGGAAACTGCCATGCAAGAAAATTTAATCTAGTAGATGCATAGGACGTATCACATCCTGAAGTCGTACATGAAGTAGATCAACTACTGAAACAGCTATGTCGGAATCAGACCAGAACCATCAAAAGTAAATGCATTCTGGGTTTGGTAAGTATTAAAGATGTCGTTTTCGACGTCCCTCTGCCATGTTGTGGCGTCAATTTCTGTATTAGGTCCTGTATCTAAAGATTGTTTCGGTCGGCAATAGTGTTTCACTCTTAAGTAGAATTTGTCCTGGTTTACCCTACAGGTCTCTGGCGTTTCACCTCTGGGCACAAGTGTGTTCCCACTCTTAATATTCACTTATTGGAATCCAGGGTCAATTTCATGGGAGAACAGAAATAGCTCCAGACCAAAAGCAGAAGTACCTTCAACGCTTGCAAGTACACCAACAAGGGCAAACCTCTTCCTTGCTGAGTGCGGTTGCGTCATCACATCTATCGGGTGTGAGTCAAAAATCATTAAAGACACTAACCCCTCAACAAAGTCCAGCCGTGTCACAGGTAAGTCATTGTTTAGGCAGTTTTTATTTCTAGCTTTCTTGACGTGCTGATTTTCTTTCAAGAAAGCAGTTGTGATGACATGGCTATCCAACGTCATTTGTCAACGCGAGGTTTTGTTTGTTCAGGGTCATACGTTCCAGCAACATCAGCAGCAACAAAAGTCTTCAGTACAAACGTCCACATCATCACAACAGTCAAATTTGGCCTCAGGAATGGAAATGCCACATGTGTCCATATCTTATACACAATCTCAGCAACAACAGCAGTCACAGCCATTGTCCAGATCTCAGTCTGCTCAGCAACTGTTGCAAGGTTCTCTATCAAGAACTGAGTCTGCAAAGGAGCTCGGTACGTTTTTGGAACAAGTACGAATATTGAGTCAAAATCAAGGTTTCTTGTGAGTCTACAAAGAGAAATTAAACTTTTATTTCTTGTGTTCAGATCCGTTCATTGGTGGAGCTCTCGATTCGCAACAACTTCATAAATTCACAGATGACACTGATACTGATATCAGCTCTGTGGCATCCTTCTCAAGGAGTCATTCCATGAGTGAAGAAGATTCCAAAAATGCCGACACATTTGATGTTGTGGTGAGTTTCTTTGCACATATATGTGAACAAGGGAAACAGTCGAGTTGTGGGTTAGGTTTGGTAACCAAGAGATCACGTGGGGTAGTTTATCCTTGTAAAGGTCAGCTTGCACAGTACTCTACTAGAACTCTTGCGCACTTCTCAGGCCATATTGTTGGGTTTGGGCCTAGGTTGGCGTACCTGGAACACTCGCAGACCTTAGTCAACTATCAAGAGACGCCAGCTTTATTGCTGGAACTTCTTCTCTTCAAGCTGGTCAACCATTGCCAGGGCCTAGCTCAGTTGGCAGGCGATCTGTTCTTGAACTTGGAGCTGGTAGTGCTAGTGGGAATCCTCTTGCTGGTCCAATTATGCATGACCAGCTGTTCAACCGACAGGCTCTAGAAGCTGCATACCACAATTTACCGATGCCCAAGGACTCAGAAAGACCAAAGAGCTATACCCCTGTAAGTAGCCATTTCTTCTGAAAGGACATTTTGGATGATTTTGTTGATAAATGCATTTCTTTTGTATAGCTTATGAGGTGCAATTTTCAAATCTCTTTTGTTCGTGAAGGGGAAGAACACTGAAAAATTGGTGGTATATGTGTACCATCGGATAACAGGCTGAAGGCTCATAGCCGAAACCCAATGCTATGTATCGTAACTGCAAGGACCCTTTTAGGCCTGTTTTGAAGTTTTTATGATGATGCTGACAGTAAGTGATGTTGGATGATCATCAAATAAACAGAGGTATCCAGCTGTTACGCCTGCAAGTTATCCTCAATTACCGGCACCTATCATTGAAAACGTAGCACTCTGGGATCGTTTGGATACTGATGTTCTTTTTCTGGCATTCTACTATCATCAGGTAATATGCTTCAATTAAACTGTGTACATTCAGGCCTCTGTCCATCAGGAGTTACTGTCTTGTGACATTGTGTAAAAATTATCCTCGGTGTAAACTGTGTAACTTGGTCAACTTGAATACTAATACTCGCTAATTTCATACGAATGATTTGGTGTACCTCTGAAAGCACTCTACTCTGATCTTACGAATCTTCTCTACACGAAAATTCATAAAACTCGTCTTTTCTATATTTCTGGTTGTCAAGATTGTGAGGGAAAATGTAGTGCCCCTCGACAGATAACACATAACTTGAAAATCTGCAAAAAGGCTAGACAAAGACTGAGCGATTTCTTACCTCTCACTTCCAAGAGGCTACATGAACCGGGTTATCTGGATGTTGACGGTTATCGCAATTTTTTGAATGTTCTTTCGCTTAAGTGTCTCCTTTAATATCTGCCATATGTGGAAGCCCCGAGCGAACCGCTGTTAGGAGATAAAAAAGACTACTGTAAGAAAGACCATGCACTCGCAAGTAGTCCTGCCTGACGCTTCTCATTCCATTCCATCTTTACTTCTTCCGAATCTTTTACTACTAGCAATCCTCACCCTGGTGTGGGGTCTTATGTCTTCAGGCTCTTCTAAAAGCCTATACCAGTGACTGCAGTTTAATATCTATTTGTTGTTTTTCTTCCTTCATCGCCGAGATTGTTGACAGTACCTACATTTGTTATATGATGACCTTTTAAGTATATGATGTGATATGCACTTTTTTGCACCTCCTTCCGTACATTTGCAGTTGAATAAGATTAGACTTAGAGTGAGAGGTCTCCAAGTATTCAATATATCTGGGTCTCTCTTTCAGGGTACCTACCAACAGTATCTGGCTGCTCGGGAACTCAAGAGGCAGTCTTGGAGATATCACAAGAAATACAGCACTTGGTTCCAGCGACATGAGGAGCCTAAGGTGACCACAGATGAGTATGAGCAGGGAACGTATGTCTACTTCGACTTTCACATTTTGCACGACGATTTGCAGCAGGGTTGGTATGTAGTCCTGAAGATGCAAGTACCACCCCAAGTTCTTTTGATGACACAGTTGTAATGATTTTTATTTGAGGTATTAGTCAATTGCTTTTGCTTCTTGTATTTTAGAACCCACCCTTTTCTGTGTAATAGATATCTGGGCACTCAATTAACACACAAGAACCAACGATGCTTCAGCAAGCAACGAAGCCCGGATTCTATTTATTCCTTCTGACACATTTGACAGAGCATTCGAAGTTGTTTGCGAGTTTGAAGTAATGGATGGTCATGCTATCGCAGGTGTCAGCGAATCAAGACCGAATTTACCTTTGAGTACAGCTACCTGGAAGATGAGCTTGTGTTGTGAATATTGCGTTGATCAGGCAACTCCGGGAGCAATAAAGTGAAAATCTTTCCACATATTCGAAAGCATTTGTTGTGTTATTTGGGGCAAAGGAATGAAAATTACAACTAGGTTTTGCACATGCTTACGCCACGGTGCGTTGTTTGACGACTTTTTCCTCATCCATAAGCGGAGACGTCACGTAAGTTGGAGGAGACAGTATCATGGGATCCCAAAGCTGGCATGCTCTGCTTCTGATACAACTCCATTTCGATGCTTCTGTGCGAGACGATATGTGCCTTCAGTTTTTCTTGGTTATGTCTTACAGCCGCGTTTTTTACAGAGGGGTCGCATTGGGTGAAAAGCCATCGCAAAGCGGTTATAGAAAGTCTAAAACCGATGCGTCGTGGTGTGAGTCAGCACCATATTCCACCCTGCGTGAATATCTTCCTGACCACCACTCTCTCTCTCTCTCTCTCTCTCTCTCTCTCTGCATTTCGATGCTCGTGCAGACATCCTGCTTCGAACGGAATGATGGTGTTTATGATGGTTCGTGTGCGTCATCGTTCCGCTTCTTTGACTGACCTCACCATAGGTCATCGGCCCATTGAGATGCTCATAAATGTCGGCACTGTTATCAGATGTTCCTGACATACAATTAATTTACTTTATCGAAAGATCGCTCGGTCATAGAATGAACCACCCACTCATTACATACGCAGGCTTTCCGTCTCCCTGGTAATTGCAGGAATGTTCAATGACCCCGGTGTTGGAATGATCACTGCTGATCCCTTGGCGAATTCGCCTGCACTAGTTCCGCGAAACTGTGTCGTGCTCAGTGGGATCGAGTGGACTCAGAAGTCATGGGGGAGGGGAGGGGTGGAGTGGGGTGGGGTGGGGTGTGGGGGCTTTCGGTCTCGTGGCTAATCTCTAGCTGCTGTACATCCATTGGCCGCGCACATGTCTCCACCCCATGTGCTCGCCATAATGTGGCAGCAATCATTATGTTAGCATTGTGCTCGTCCCGATGATGGAGATGAGCGATGCGCTCCCGCAGGCCAGAAAAATAGTATATCAGACAGTGATGCGCGGAGAATCCTCCGAGCACTCACTCACTGGGCCAACTGGAGCTCTGTGCCATGGTGCACGCCACCACCAACTACGTTGGTGCAGCGCTGTAGGAGGATGAAGCAAAGCGGCAGCGGCAGGGGCAGGCATCCGTGTGGATGATGATGATGATGAGATCTATGACCGACTAACCACAGGCCTCTCACAGATGGTCCTCGCCCCCGCTGCCTCTGCTTTGGTGGGGCACCATCGGCCTTTTGTCGCTAGCTGAATGGCGAAACTCCCTTGACCAACATGAGCCCCACAGATAAACATAGTTTATCGCTCCAGATTGACATGGTGCTTGCATGCTTCCTTCCCCGCGGCGGGCCCGGGCCGCCATCATTTGCCGAGCATCAGACACCACAGTACAAATAGACACAAAGCACACAACAACAAACAATTATGCTGCTGCCGCTGCCTCCTCCTGCTACTGCTGCTGGCGCTGCCCAGCCCCACCCCTATCCACACAATGCTCCCATCAGTAGATGTGGGTGGCCTAAACAAAGCAATGTTGGTCCTTTAACAACCAAAAAGCTGATTCCCTCCTCCCCCTGATTCCTCCCCCTCCCGTCTTTCTACCGGTAGCTCCCGAGCCCGTCTACCGGACCGTACCATACGGTCCCGGGGTCCGAAGGGGCTTCGCCTGGCCACCGGAGTCAAAGCGGGAGTCGGGGGCCGAAACGTGTGCTGTGCACAAGCCCCCAGTACAACCGCAAAGGCCCGGCGCCTTCGCCTCCGTTGACACGTTCTCCTCCGAGGGCCTCGCTCGCTCGCTCATGTTCACCGAGGGCAGCGCCGGACGAGACACCTGAATCGTCCCCCTCCCCTCCCCTCCCCTCCCCTACGACGACGCCGTACCAGGGTCGGAGGGGTCGGAGGGGCCGAGTCCGTTGGGCGTCCTCGGCGCATGAGAAAGGGAATTTTAGCGTGCGTTGGCACGCTCCCACTCCCCCTCCCCTCCCCCCACCCCACCTCGATCCATCAATCATTCACGAGATGGCTCTAGAGTCCCCTCGTCGCCTCTCGTCGCCTCTCGTCTCGTCTCCATCGAGCAGTCATTCCCGTCAGGACTCGGGAATCTGTGAGCCAGTCAGTCAGTCTGTCTCAGAGTCTCTCTCTCTCTCTCTCTCTCTCTCTCTCTCTCGCTCTGATGACTCACGTAAAGCGCACGGGCTGTTCTCTCTCTCTCTCTCTCTCTCTCTCTCTCTCTTGTGCTCACTTTTGCGCGCACGATGTCGAAGGGGGAAAAGGGAGCCTGAGGTTTAGCGAAGGGAATCATGTGGGGGTTATGAATCTCGAGAGTGCGCGACCCGAGTTTGATTCCGCAGCTCGGGTGACTCGTGCCTCCACAAGGCGTTCAACCCACACTGCTGCTGCTGCGGCAGCAGCAGCAGCCCTTGGGCGACACGGCGCTTTATAATGGATCCAGTGGCACAACAACCCGACTTTCACAGGCGGTAGAAAATGGGAATTCTGGCCGAAAAGCTGCCTCACCTTAACTGTGCCAAAGCGAAAAGGCCTTCGGTGCAAATCTGCAAGACTTCATCTCATGCCTGACACGGAATAAAACATCCTCCCCATGCCCCCGCCCGCCCGCCCTCACTCTCACTCACTTACTCGCTCACGGAAAACCGAGCGAGTTGGGTCAATTCAATTGACCACGTTTTTTTGGGGACTCGCAATTCCTCCCCCACTGTACCGCCCGCGCCACAGCGAGCGAGCGAGCGAGCGAGCGAGCGAGCGAGCAAAGTCGTCTTCTTCTTCGGCTGCCTGCTCTCGTGTGCTGTGGATTGCCCCTCGGCATCCCAATCCGTGTAGTAATATCTCATCGCCCTCCTCATCTGCTACCTAAAGCTACGCTGGTCTACGACACCCTAAAGCCCGTAGCTAGCTGAACTTTCGTCGCACCTTGGACACCAGAAGCCTTTCTCTAGGTCCCAGATGAGTCCCCCTGATCGCCTCGATGCCTCCCTCGCCCCATTCACCCACCGGCTTTCCAACAATTACAGCAATCCCAACATGACGACGGCCTCGTTTCGGCAGCCGCTTGATTTCACCCTCCCGCCATGCCTCCCTTATCATCATCAACTTGCCACACACTCGCCCGCCTCCTCCCTCCCTCCCTCCCTCGCTTCCAGAGACGGTTGGTGGCATCGCAGCAGTTCGTTCCATGGTTCGTTCGTTCGTTCGTCCGTCCGTCCGGCCTGCGACACGAGAAACGAGAAGTCCCGAATTTCATCCTCTTGCACGCCACTTTTCGAGTCGGTTACAGTGCTACGCTCGCTGTTGTTGTTCCTGCTGCTCCTCCTGCTGCTGCCGCTGTCGTCCTGTTTTAGCCTCCGATGGGCACACCAAGATCTGGATCTCCTCCTCCTCCTCGTCGTCGCTCCCTTCCGACGGCATCCCGACGCCAGAAATTTTGACCAATTCGGTCGCCCCTATTCTTGACCCTATTCTCGGACGCCATCGCTCGGCCCCTCCTTATCACATCTCCGCGCTCGAGAGGGCCCTCCTCCTCTCTCTCTCTCTACCTCGCTGAGAATCCGGCGCCTCCCGGTCACCGATTACAGCAGCAGCAGCAGCTGGTGTTGTTGTTGGTGACGATGATGTTCCAGCGCGCGAACCGAGATTTCAGAGCCACTGGATGAGATGGTCCGCCCTTGCGGGCTCGCGGTTCGGCGCACGGCTGGCTGGCTGGCCGGACGGGGATGGGGATCATGAGCTGCTTCGCCTTCTCTTCTCGCCTCGCTTTGTTTTCTTTGCAATGAGTGCGCGAGGAGGTTGTCGTCGTCGTCGGCGTCGGCCCACTTACCGACCGACGACGACTTCACTCGCGTCTCTAAATTTGACCCGAGGCCGCGGTTCCGTCGATCATCATAAGGTTCGAGAAGGGTTCTTTCTTCGCGCGATTCAATGTTTCGAGGGAAAGGAAATGGGGTCTCGATTCGGTCCTTTGCGAAGATGTCGCGGCCCAGTTCCAAATCCTCGGGTGGGGCTACGCGTTGCGTCGGGTTGGCCGGGATTGGGGTGGGGTTGAGGGTGTCAGGGAGGGCTCCCTCACGCGAGACGAGACGGGGGACGCAATCTCACGCGCGCAATTCTCACCAAAGGCACGGAATCATAAGAAGAAGAAAGGCGTAGCGTTTCTAATCGCTCTCTTCTCGCTCCATGCCTCGTCGAAATCGTCTCGCATTCGAACATCCACACACGAACCACTTAACAATCAAATCAATCTCGAGCATCTCGAGCCCTCCCTTTCCCTCTCTCTCTCTCTCTCTCTCTCTCTCTCTCCCTCCTTCCTCGGATGAGATGGGGCATGATGGGATGGGGGTCCCCATGGCCGAGCAGACGACAAGCTCCGCTCGCACATCAGCACTGATGAGATTCCAGGGGCCTTCGTGGTTAAGACCGGAGGTGCGTGCTGGTGTCATCGACGAGCCCGCCCGCGTGCGAAGAGTCGTCGATCAGTGAGTCAGTGAGTCAGAAATCGAGCGAGCGAGCGAGTCAATCCGTCGACTGTCACACCATGCGCCCTCGCTCCCTCTCTCTACGAGGAATCGAGAGCATCAGGATTCCTGCAGGGCTTCGATCGCCGAGTGACGTGATTTCGATCCAATCTCCGAGCCTTGCGATGCTCGATGGATGTGCGCGAGCGAGCGAGGTGATCTCCTGGCTCCCGATGCGGATCTTGTTCCTTCTCGGTCAGTCGGTCGGTCAGTGAGTCAGTCAAGTCAGCCCTAAAGCTCGAACAACGTGTCTCGTCTCAGCGCAGCCATGCCTGCCGCGCCATGACATGTCATGCCATGTCCGCTGTCCAGGTGGACGGGCGGATGGATCCGTGGACGGCCCGGCCCGCGGAGAGGTCAGGTGGACTCAACAACAAGAGAAGCGACGAGACGAGGAGAGGGGCAGGGGGAGGGGCAGGAGGAGGAGGAGGGAAGACGAGGCGGAGACGAGACGTGTGCGATGGGAACGTCGGGCGCTAGCTAAGCTATGGCCTGAACAGGGACAATCAATCCTGCGAGATCTGGATAGAGAAGCAAAGCAGCGAGCGAGCGAGGGAACGAGGACGAGGAGACGGGGAAGCTGTCTATCACGACGAGTTTATCGGGATGGTTATTATTATTATTATCGTCGTCGTCGTCGTCATCGGCAATTGGATCTGGATAGCCACTGGGATCGATATGTTGGTCGCTTTTGGAAGACGTACCAACTACTTTCTTGGTTTACTTTGGCCGAAAGAAACCAATGCGCTGAGAGTGCATGGGAGGTGGATTCGATCTCATGGTTGAAAGTGCTTTCTCACTGTCTATAGCTTTATCCGCTCTATTGTCGATACTCGCTCCTCTTTCCACCGGCTCGCTCGGATCATTTTACCCTCCGTCGACGATTTCCGGCCCACTTTTCTTCACCTGGCTTCGACTCTTCTTCTTCTTCTTTCGCGAGAAGTATTTTCTCGCTTCCTTCTGCGCTTCTCTCCGACTTTCTTTCTCCCTGGGAACTTGGGAGCGGGTATCAATTGGTGCGCCTGGCCAGAGACGGAAGCACAGCGAGGGACTGTACCGGAGGTGATGAGTATTTACTGCCCAGGCGCAAGAAAGATCGCCCGTCCTTCTTCTTTTCGGGTCTGCCATGGAATGGGCATGAAAATTAATATTATTATTATGCCTGCTATTATTGCCAGGGAGGTCCTGCTGGTCAGAATGAAAGGGAATATGTGCATCATGAATGCATCGCTCTCACTGGTCCGGCGGACCCATACGACTTTGGGATGAGGAGAATTGCAATTTGCAACAGAGAGAGAGAGAGGGAGGACGTTCACTTTATGACTGACTGCCTCCCTGCCTCCCTGCTTGACCGACTGACGGACTGACTGGTTCAACCGGCGGGCGGGCGAAGCTCTGCTCTGCTCTCCTCTGCGCTTCTCCTCTCAGATACGGTCTTACAGAAGTTTGTATTTGAGAGAGTCCAACAACTCATGCATGCATTGGATGTACAAGATTCAATAAGAATGTGGTCTTTGGACCCCACGGGAACGGAACCGAACAGGATCGGAGAGAAAGAGGGACTTGACTGAATCATGATGACATGGGAAAAGTTCTCACCCCTGCTCTGCTCAAATGTCATGCCCCTCAAGACAACGGCGCCCGGCGACGGCCGACGGGCGACAGCCCTCCCTCCCGGCCTCCTTCTTTTTCCACTCAGAGAAAGAGAGAGAGCGAGAGATCGCCATCGCGAGCGAGCGGACGAACGACCGACCGACCGACCGCCTGCTCGAGACGAAGAAGACAAGTCGCTGACTCATCCCTCCCTAAGAAGACTGCCCTCGAGGGGCAGCCGCGCAGAGGAGATTAGCCCTGCCCCGCTCTCGCCTGCCCGGCCCTGCCCCTGCCCCTGCCCGGAGCGAGGAGATAAATATGGCCCACCCGCAGGCCCCAGGGCTGCCCCACAGCACTCCCCCATCCTGCCCAAAGTGCCACTTTCGAACACGGTACACTGGTCCGTCGCCCATGCATGAATTGACCTGACCAACCGAGTCCTGGGCCGGGGTTTCATGCCCATCACCTTTTCTCATCCATGGCATTCTTGTCTCTTCTGCCGGATGTCGTCCACCTTCGGTTCGGGTAAGTATTCCCGTCGACCGGGACAAACTCATCCCTCGTACGAAACATCTCTCGCGCCAGCATCGGTCCGTTCGGGGATCTCGGCAAAAGACTCGCGTGTGGAGTACACGAATGAGTTACACTCTCTCTCTGCATCTTCTTCTTACCGAGCTGTCGGTTTTCCAGGTCTCGGAGTATTCTTCAAGTAAGCGCTGTAGTAAATTCAGAAACGTCCATGTGAATAATGGCCTTCGCCAAACGTACCCATACAAGTGTCCATGTCTTCGACGAAGCTCAACTTCGTGTTTTGCTTCGCTTCTAATTTCCAAATACAACCCACGTTTTCATAGTATCATTGGATGACTTTATGAGCTTTATCCATTTCAGCTATACCATTTCATCTTCATCAGCTATTCCATATTGATCCTCAAGAGATTCCAGTCTTATATCAATTTTACACGGTGACAATTGCTGACCTTTCCGCCTTAAATCCAATATTTTGATTTATGAGGCATTATGAGCAATATTAAATACACATCTTTCATTCCATTATGTCTTTATTTCTTATCACTATATCTAAAAATTCAGAAATGAAAATTCTATTTTATTTTCATACCTATTTGTTAAAAGAAAATATCGTGTGGCTATATTTATGATAAAATGTTATTAAAAATCATTGTATTTCTATATTTATATTTATATTTATTAAGCCAACTCATTTTTTATTCTTTTATCCATAATTATACCATTTCATATTCTTGTTTAATTTACATGATTTACAATGCTTGACAAGAATCTTGATCGTTTCTTTCACACTATTTATCATAGAAAATATGATTTTTGAAGGTGATCATGAATCTATATCCGTGATGCATAAATTGTCTTTTGTTAAAGATAGAACACATATACATTATCTCAATATCATTGATCTTTTGAGAAAGCAATGAGTGATTTCCAAAAGAACACTTTACATGATTTGTGTTAATTTTTCTCACATGAGTAAGACTTTCTCCAGACTTACTTGTAGCTGAATCATATGCTGTACATTCCGGTTTCTTCTCCAATCATGTAATGGACTGAAAATCAACGACTTAATCCTTTTTTCTCCATCAAATATCTGCACACAATACTTTCATCAATTAAAAATTCATTTCTGCATATTATAAATATCCATGGCCGTTAGGAATGTGAAGTATGCAATATACCAAATCCCATTTTCTAAATCAAAATGAAAATTTGTTGGTCCAACTATGTAGAATCTAAATGTAATTCAGACAATATCACACTTCTAGGTTATTGAAACTCATTGAACTTCTGTCTAATCTTTCCCAATTGAAACTTGAGATATTCCCACATTCTGTTTCTTTTTCGAATATCTTTGACAAATGAATGTCTACGGTGAGATATGCACATGTCTTTTACTCGCTCTGGTAATGGGGAGCGCAACGATATATCAGAGGAAAGAAAAAATTAAAATTTTGCAGTTAATTCTTTACCAACGGAGGAATATATAGTTAGTGGATGACATTGCATCATGTCTAGAGCAAAGCTAGGGCAGTGATTTAGATCTAACCAAGAAATATTGTCTTGTTGGAATTTATTCAAACAAGTTGCCAAAAAACTCTTGCTTTGAAGTCTATGCGAGTACATCTTATCCCGAAATTCAATCAATGTCGGTTTGGGATTTTTTTCTGGCACAAAGCTCGAGGTCCACGCAACACAAATACATGAAATTTGTCACCGTCTTTAAGTTGGTACTGGATGTATGTCTGGGAAACAGCGAGCTGCATCCATCCACCCGTTGCATTCAGTGCGCGAACATTCAATCCGAATCGGGGAGCGAGCAGAGCGAACATTCGCTCCGGTCCCGGGCTTACTTCGCCTCCAGTGCCGGACTTGACTGAGTTCAGGCTGGGGTTGGGGATGTGGCGTGGTTTGGTTTGGCGTGGTTGGAGTTGGGGTTGGGGATGCATAGTCGTCGGGAGGGCGGGCCCACCGGGCAGATCGCCGACAATGCGAAGTGCGAAGACTGTTAGCGCTGTTAGAGAGGCGGTCCCCACCCGCGCCATTGCGCAAGCAAGCGAGCAGAGCCCGCGCTCGCGTCGTCGCCGCTTACGCACTGGACTGCGTGCTGCGGGCACGCCATTGGATTCTTGCTCGTGGTTTTAATGGTCGCCTGCTGCTCCCTCTCCTCTTCTTTTCGCCTCTGCTCTGCTCTCGCCATTGTCGACTCTCCTCTCTCCGCTCCGCCCCGCAGCTCTCTCTGCCGTCTGAGTCTGTGCTGCTGCTGCTGCTCTCGGCCCTCTCTCTGGGCCTGTGGGCTGGCTGCTGCTGGCTGGGCTCCCTCGCTCGCCTCTGCCTGCGAGCGTCTTTCCTCCTCTTTCTCTCCTCTCTTTTCTGCTGTGCTCTGGGGCTGGGCTGGGCTGGCTGGCTGGCTGGACTGACCCGACCTGCCCTGCCTGGACTGCCCCCGGCTGGCTGGCTCGCTGCCAGGCAAAGGCTTCTCGTCGCGTGTGCGTGCCTGAGTTCTGGTTTCGCTGCTGCTGCTGCTGCTCCTCTGTGATATGCTTTTGGCCTCTCGTAAGCAGGAGCAGTAGGACGAGGAGGACGAGGAAGAAGAAGAAGAAGATTGGACGAGGGGAGGGTGAAGACCGGAGGGAGAGAGACGAGACGAGACGTGACGAGAGAAGAGAAGAGAAGAGAAGAGAAGGGAAGGTCGGCTGGTGTCGACGGACAGTGGGGATTGCTGCTGCTGCTGCTGCTGACTGGGGAGGAAGAGAGCTCAGCGGAGAGATCGTGGTGAAAGCGAGGCGGGGAGGGGAGAGGCGAATAGAGGAGGAGAGGGAGAGTGGGGGAGAGTTATTAGGTCATTATAGACGCATTATTGCATTGAGGACATGCAGCTTTCTGAGGTGTGCGAGGGAGCGCTCAGAGCGCAGAGTCTGTGGTTCAGATCGCTCTTTTCCGGGGAGGAATAGAATTGTTTTAGGGGTGCGATTTGGAGATTTGTGCGCACACGTGTGTGATGAAGTGGTGGCAGTCTGTGGAGAAAGAGTGGTGAGGGAAAAAGTCTCGTTTGACGAGGAGCTGAGATTTCGAGACGGTGTCTCGACTAATTGCTGCTGCTCCTGCTGCTGGTTGGCTGAACTGAGGCATACCAGGAGTTGTTGTCATTGAGAGACACACACACACACACGAACACTATCACATACACACGCGCAGACGCGCGCACACACCCACACACACCGCTCGCTCTGCGCACTTCACCTTGCCGCGTTGCCTGCCTCCATCATCGTGTCGTGGATCTGCTCTGGGCAGTTGGATTGCGAAGCACTCTTGCAGCAGAGGACCATCTTTGCCAGGAAGCTGCTTCTGCATCAATTTCCTGATTTTTGACCGTCCTCCTCTCAGACCGGTCCTCGAGCTACATTCGGAGGGAGTTGGCTCCAGTCTGTTAACGACGAGGTGGTTTGGCAGAAGATACGACCCGAGGCGCCCGGGGGAGCAACTCTCTCTCGCGTCCTAGGGGGAGGGGGGGTGGGGGATAGAAACTTTGAGAGTTAGAATCCCACTCACGAATTGCGAGTATGTGCAGCACGGGTGTCTGGGAGAGGAACTATGGACAATCGTAATTGGCGTCTGGATTTTCCAAGAAGCCAATTCGCTCTGTCGAATAAGCATTGTGAAATTGCCTTCACATTTTTACTTTTGAGAAACGGCGTCAACCTCCTCCTAAACTCGACATTGTTAAGGAAGCATTGTGACTGCAGATGCTACAGCTTCATGGCAAACGCCTTAGTCATTCCTCCCACGAAGTAGTGCTTCTTCACCGGAAATCAGTCCCTTCTGCATTTCGGACGAACGAACTGTCAGTGCGATATTAGTTTGTTGAAAGTAATCCCAAATTCCTTACGATTTATCGCTGTTGTAGTCGCTGATCAGTGTGTAGCGAACTGTCATCGAGTGATTCCCGGGGTTTAGGGTTTAGGTTGAGCCAATCGCATTTGCGGTTGTCCCCATCTGCATCTGCCCCTCGAACGCTGCTTAGGAGCGGCCAGTCTGAACGTTTCCACGGGAGGAAAGGATTGTGATTCGCCACATTCATTGCTGCAGCTAATTTTCTCGGTCGAAGCCAGCCATGACAGCGAATCAAGCGCCTCATTTTGGTGCTAGTACGCGATTGTAGATTTCTGAGCTGTACTGGGAAGCAGTGAAATTCCTGATTCAACGACCGAGTCGAGGAAAGTAGGCAAGTTTCTCTTGCCGGCGACGTGATCTGCGTGAAATAGCCGACGGTGGCATGGCGTGGAGGTCTAATCATCAAGCAGTTTATCCAGATCCCTCGCTACCATTCTCATCCCCAGGGTGTCCATCGGCCTCATTGTCCATTTCATCGACCACGGCATCGTCGTACCCTCCGTCGTCTCGAACATTGACTTTTTCTAAATCCATCCCCATCCCGTCAAAGAAGATCGAAGCTTGTAACACTCAAAATAAGGAGGTGCTTGGTTGGCTGGATGCCATGAAGGCTCAGTCCCCTCCCCGATTTGAAAGTTACATGGGCGGCGTCTTGGATCCCAAAGCTCAGGAAGCTGCAGCTGTAGCCCAATATTCCGCATGGAGGGCAAGTTCTCACCCCCTCTGTGACTTGCACGTTTACTTTGTTCCTAAAATCGTGCGCGCAGGTGGACCAGTTCATTGTGTAGTCGTTGGCATGGCTCGAATCTGACACAGATTTCATTGTGTATCTGGCGCATGACTCAAACTGAAAAAGTGCCTCCCCCTGAAATATTTCAGGAGAACCATCCGTCCGCCCTGGAAATGTTCGACGAGCTGATGGAAGAGGCAGCTGGCAAGCAGATTGTTGTGTTTTTGGACTACGACGGAACGCTCTCGCCCATCGTGGAAGATCCCGACCGGGCCTACATGTCCGATCTGGTACTGCTTTCCTTTCGTCAGGCAGCGGTAGAAGATTTGCTTTCAGTTCAGCGCAGCGTCACGTGTTGTTGTTGCCCGGGTCTCCATGTCGGGCCCTTGAAACTTGTGGCGAGCCATCCTGACCATGTGTGGAAAAGTCTTCCCCCCTCCGGGACCTCGGCCGCCCACTTCTCATCGTCCAATGGACGCCGTCTCTCTGACTGTCTGTCTGCAGATGAGAGCCACCGTGAAGGAGGTAGCGACGCATTTCCCCACCGCGATCATCAGCGGGCGAGGCAGGGAGAAGGTGACTGCAATTCTCCCCTTGTTCCCCACTCCCCACCACCACCACCTGCTGCTCTCCTGCATTTTGTCGCCTGCCGCTTTCTGTCCGGGTCCTCGATCTCGTCGCTGATGATGTTGGCATCGTCATCGCGCCGGGAGTTTTTATCGTTAGTCGGTTTTGTTCGAGGCTTTTTTATATCTCGGACGAACATCGATTCTCAGCATTTACCGCAGTCCTGCTGCTGGTAGCCGCGACGGTCAAACACGCAAGGGGGTCGCCATTTTCTTAACCTCCGGCGCCCGCTTATGCTAACTCGCCGATGGCAGAGCTCGGGAAGGGATTAACCGCTCGCCCCGAGACTCGGCACTTGGGCACTTGGCGTGGGGACCTCGATGGCCGAACTGTCCGGCAGCGTCTGAACGCGTCAGTCGATCTCGGTGGGGAGCTTAGCCGGCACTGCACGCTAGCCTCGCGAATTATTCCGGAATCGATTACGGACTGAATTAACTAATTCGATCGGGATCTTCCCCGCCCCGATGGTCGTATGACGTACATTCGTGCTGATTGGCCCTGGGTGCATGGATCCCAGATCGGACTAGTCGATGCACGAGCCGAAGCACGTACTGGGTCCTCTCGAACTCAGTGGCTGGAGTCCCACCTGCACATGAATGCCACTCCTAACTGCCCCGCTTTTCCAGCCGACCGTCATCCGGGTATTAATCAAGTGCGCTGATATTTGGTTGCCCAGGTATACGACTTTGTACAACTAGCGGAACTTTATTACGCCGGGAGTCATGGAATGGACATCATGGGACCAGCAGAGGGATGCAATGGTTTCAAAGCGACGGGAACGCGGGCCAAGGATAAGAAGGTGAGCGAGAATCTTGTGCATTTTTTAATCCTTGCTTCTCTCTCTGGTTTTCATGCCTCTCGGACGAGGACTGACGTTGTGCTCTATTCAGGGCAATGAAGTTGTATTCTTCCAACCGGCGAGCAAGTTCCTACCCATGATGGACGAGGTATGCGCAGACCGTGTCACGGAATCTTTACACGTGAAATGAGTTTTGTCACCGAATTTTTGGATGCATTTGCGAAAGCATGACTACGCGTCTCTGCAAAAGCTTACCAAATTGTGATTCTCGTAGGTGTGCAAGCTCTTGGAGGACAAGGCTCAGAGTATTCCAGGCGCCAAGATTGAACATAACAAGTATTGTGTAACAATACATTTTCGTCGGGTCAAAGAGGAGGTAATAGACATAACGAGAGCCTTTGGAGTCATCTTCCCCGTGGACTGTGAAGGATTCGATCAACACTGTTGGATATCTGCATTTATAATTTTACCTTGTTTTGCTCGATGATTAGCATCCATGCCTTTTATGACCGTATACGTTGTTCCATGCCTTCTCAGTTTCAGTTCTTTTTTTACAAACTTCCTTGCCACTTACAGGCGGAGATAGTCTCCCTGATCTAACTGCTTATTATTAATGGCAGATGTCAATGACAGACCATTGGGTATGAGCGTAGCCGGTATGCATTGTGCGGACCCAAATTGTACACTCAATAGGATTTGTTTTCTGAGTTCGAATGAGAGGAAATATGGACTTCTGGCTGGTGGTTCTTCAACTGTATTTTTAGTCAGTTTGTTGCTAAACGATTGGGCTTTCCTAGGCGTGCAAGAGCTGAATGCCTGGTTGTAAACCTTTGAGTGAGTTGCATTTGCGTCCCCACATGGCATGTGGGGACGCACTCATCCGAAGTCCTATTGCAATGTGAATTATCTTTCTTGTGTGTCACCTTTCTTGGAGATCACTGGATTGTCTTTTACATGTAACAAGTTGCTGTCCTTTCTGAGAATAGGACTTACTTGCGTAGCCGTCCAGAAGGCTTACTAGAAATGGCATATTCCCGTATCCTTCCTTTGTCTGCAATCAGTTCCTTGTGACTAAGTGAACACATGCGCCTGGTCCTCGTCAAAGAATCAAGGTCGGAAGTGTATGCTTTCTACCTGAGTAGGAGCCTACACCTCTTCTTCCAGTATATCTTGTATGCATCGTACTTCGCATGACCTGAGGTTTTCAAAGGACAGATAGCTCCACTTTCTTTGGGTTGATACACTGAAAACGAGCTTCTGACCTCTGTCCATTTACTGATAGACAGGTTTTCATTAGCTCAGTGATCGGGCTTAGTCCCATGCCATAGTTCATTGCATTGACAGTCGGTTGCTCATCAGGTGGGTGATCTTGGTCTCGTTTGCTTGGTTGTACATGAGCTTCTCATATTCCTCTTCTTTGACTGACCGCTTGTGCCAACCTATCCGAATGGTGGGTGAAAGTGTGCTAATTCTTGTGTCTCTGCGTGGGTCTAATTTTGATTATTGTTTTCTTATCTTGTTGATTTAATGTTTAAATCTGGTGAGGTAGGGACTTTGACATATGTCCCGATTACTCACCAGCTTCATCTTCTGAGTAGGAACAAAGATGAGAACACAGCGGAACGTGAAGTGCTCTAAGTGTTTGGTTTCTCATATGCCCATGCATGGGACAGGCTGAATAAAACTAATCTGGGTGGGGAGGGATTCTTTAGCTAATATGGAAGTTTCGACGACCCTTGTTTTCACTCTCTGACCTTAGATGCAGTTTATTTCAGAAAGCTTTGCAGCCTTTCATATAAATAAAGGTCTCTACCCGGCTACATGTAGGATAATACTAACCATCCTATATCATTGTGAATGCAGTGCTGGGGGCCTCTTGCAGAGCAGGTGGAGATTGTGTTGAAGAGTTATCCAGAGTTGCAGTTAACTCTTGGTCGCAAAGTGAGTAGTTCTTTCCAAGTTTTTAAGGCCTGAACTCATATGAGAAAACTATCTAATTTGTTCTACTTGCCCGAAGACGAATGTTATAAGAATGGTCCTCCGTTGGCCATCTTGTACGAGGCTGTCAGATTCTATCGAACATTAGTGAATGCTTTCTTGCGTGACATAGCATGGACTTTCCATGTCTTTCTCTGCTCTCGTAGGTGACGCTATGTATCCTCGTCTGTCTCTTCACTCGTTCAGGTGTTGGAAATCCGACCAGCGATAGAGTGGGACAAGGGGAAGGCTGTGGAATTTCTGCTAAAATCTCTAGGTGAGTCCTCCTGGAAATCTTGTTGCCATCGCAATGTTGTGAGTGACCTGATTATTGTTAAAGGTGTCTTACGAATGTCGCTACCAGTATAGGTTCTCTATAGTGCAGGAGTTAATGGTACCTTTATGAGAAACTTTCTGACATTCCGGGCTGCAGGATTGGAGGACGTCGATGATGTTCTACCTGTGTATCTAGGAGACGACCGAACAGATGAAGATGCATTCATGGTATGTTCGTCTTTCCTCAACTAGTTCCATACAACTGTTATTTAAATTTCTCCTGTCGTGGTTTCAGCACGCTGCATAAGAATTCAGACCTCTGTATTGTATCGAAGAAATCACTCCGTGACGTGTATATCTGTGCGTCTCTATATGCTTTCAGGCTCTAAATGATCGGGGCAAGGCCTTTAGTATTCTGGTGTCAACTGTCGCCAAAAGCACGAACGCTTTGTATTCCCTTCGAGATCCTAGTGAGGTATTTCATGCAGCCGACGATATCTGAAATTCATTGGTGTGGTTGTGGCTCGCGTGCCCTTTAGCTGGGCCCAGTTGCGAGTTGTAAGAAGCTAGTTGTTGGACCGCGTATGTAGCGTGTGATTGAATGCATGCTTTTGGATTGTAAGGCAATGCCATGTGTATAGTGTGGTGCTCATTCTGCGCGATAACGTAACCATACCAAAGCCGTTTCTGATTCAATTGTTTTTTTTTTATAATCAGGTAATGACATTTTTACAGACATTGGTGAGATGGCGAGAGGGCCATCCACAAAGTCTTTGTAAACCTGCTGATGAGCGGTAAGTAGTACGACGTCTAAACATCAGTCATAATGGCTGGTCCTGAGCTAGCTTGAAACTGCCCCTTTTGAAGAATGGGGTGCGAGCATGTACCACGGGCGGATGTTACCTATCCCCTCGTTTTCCAGGTGGTTCTCTCCATATGGAGCATCTTTGTAAAATGTGTGAGCTCTACAAGCCCCTCAGCTTTTTACAACGCTTGTAAGGGTGTCCAGGAGGTCACAAATAGTCAGTAGGTTTCGTAGCTTTTGCAACTGAATTCCTAGGTATTAGAGTGTACATTCGGTAGTCGATAGTTTATCATGGCTACCATCCATCCAGCTTCAAGGTTCACAGTAGCTTGTAAAAGGGTAAAATGAGTAGGAAGTGAGTAGATATTCAAGTCTTGAAAATCTGATGCTTGAAAATGTTCGGCTCATCTATATCATTTCTGAAATGTTCCCTGTCTAAACCGTTGATTTTCAACCATTCGATCAGAATAAAATGTCCCTACGGGAGTTTATTTCTTCAAATACTGCCACCCTGCAGAGCCTGACATCTGGTGGTGTGTTATGTGGTGATGTGATGCGAATTTAAAACGAGGACATTTGGCGTGTTCATATCTCTGTCGCTGTGCGTGTGCACTTTTCCTCTTTCGCACTCTTTCTGCCTCGCACTCTGTTGCCGTCCCTCGCCTCGAGTCAGTCGTATGAAAGCATCATAATCACAAGTGTCAAATCAGCTACCACATCGCAAGGACGAATCAGACGCGGAAGTAATTCATGTGCCTTAATGCGATGTAAATACAGCATGTAAGTATCCCATCGAACACGATCCACACACCGCTTTTTCCAGGTCAGTGCGGCGAAAAGTTTGATTCGGGAGGGCCGCCTAGCCTTCACCTCGTTTGTCACATACGCGCCGTCGCGTGGCCATTGTCCAATAATTGAGGCTTGTCGCCTCCGAGCTCCCAATGATGTCGATGGTGCATCAAACTTTCTACGCAGTATCTATGCTTCGAGTTAATGGAAACACCCCTCCACTCATCAATGACGCGCCAAAGCCAGCCAGCCAGTCAGTCAGCCCCTCATGCCAATGACTCCACTGCGACAAAGCATCGCCGAGCAGAAGCAAACCGTATGTCACACGAGCAGTTAGTCGCGTGGACGGGGGACGCATCGCGAGGGGCCCGGGCGGCCGTTGGTTTCGGCCACCAGGGAAGTCCGCCTTCGAAGAAGGGCCGATCATCGCAGCCCTACACGTGAAACGGGCCGAGATACCCGGCCGAGAAGGCGAAAAGGCCGAAGAACAATCGGCTCCCAAGGCGACAAAAAAGTATTCCGTCACCGAGTCAGTCAGTCAGTCAGTCAGTCAGTGCGCGACTGGTCACCGAAACCGAGCGACCGAGCGAGCGGGCGAAGGAGTTCGAGTGGCGGTCGCGGCGATGATGATGACGATGATGATGGCGACGACCGAACATTGTTGTTGAACACTGTCCCCCAACTGTCAGGCAAGTTCGGGGTCTCCGGAATCTGGAATCTGGTAGAGAATCTCGAGCGGAGGAGGGAGACCGGTTTCCACATGGTCCGATGACCCGGTCAGTCGGACGAGGCGCCCGCAGCGGGTGAACAAGTGTCAACCACCGGGCGCGCAACCATTGACCGTGCATGCGCTCTTCTTCCGCGACAAAAAGTCAAGCTGCCGCAATCTATCACATGACATGACATGAGATGACATGCCATGCCAGGCCGGTTCTGGCGGGGCGCCCCCATTGGTGCGACTTTTCGCCAGCCCCTGGACCAATCGATACATTTGCCGTGAATCTCCCCTCCTCGCGATAAAAGCTCTCAATGCGACTTCCGCTGCCTGCCATCATTCATCCGTCCGTCCGGCACTTACAGTAACCAAATAAAGGACGGCCGTGACAGACAACTCCTCCTTTATCATCGTCATCATCACCTCTTAAACCCCCCACCCCTCCTTCGATAAAGCTCTTTTCGAAAACGCTCTTCTCTCTCTTTATGTCAGAAACAAAATTAGCACGTAAATTGTGGGCGACCCGTCCGCATGCTTTTCCCGATGACGACTCCTCGTCGTTGTAGTAGTCGGCGTTCGTCCGAGTCATGATGCTCTCTGTGCTGCTAATGGGCGCGATTTTCGTCTCTCTTCATTCGCGCCCATGTGTTCATTCCCCTTCATTCCTGCGTCCTCCATGTCCCGCCCCGGCTTGGATTCTCTTCTCTTCTCTTCTCTTCTCTTCTCTTCGCTCTCTGCTCATCTCATGGCAGCATGTGGACGATAGTGCTCCTTGTCTTCATGTCGCATTTGGCTGTGCCCCGTTCTGTACCACGTGCGACTCCCCGTTATCATCATCAGTCCCACAATAGGCTGTCGACATGTGACCTCGAGCCTAATCATTCGCATTAGTGGCCAGTCCTATCAGATTCCGTCGTTCCCGAAAAGCATATCTGTTCTTCTGTTTATATTTGGTCGCTCCCCGTCGACTCACATGCATCCGAGCTTGGCTGCATCCGGCCGCCCGTGTCATAGCTTATCGTGCTAATTTTGTTCCCGTGCGATTCCACAACTAACCACAAATATCAGCAAGTCAAAGTCACAAATATCCTGTCGATTATTGACGTCAGATTCAGTCGCTTGGGAGTCGAGCAGATTTGTGAGAGCAGTTTTAGTGGATTTTCACTCCTTTCTTTCGTTCGACGACAGTGCTATGACGAGAGAGCTACGATTTACTTCAGGTTCATTGTTCGAGAATTATTGTTCAAGTTGATTGAAGAGCAATGCACGCTCGTCTGTGCTGAAAATCTATGGACGCTTAGGGATAGGGAAGCTTGTGATGGAGATTACAATGTTCAAGTTGCATATGCTTGCTTTTGATCGCAGAGTTTAACACATTCGAGTATTCTCTTTTGGCTCAATTCATGGCCTTGATTGACGACGTTTTGTTCGGCGGATGTTCAACTATTCTCGTCACTTGCATACATCACAAACCAGTTATGTCATTGACGCCATGAATGTCTGCTTGTTTGACCAATTTCAATGCAATTTTCCTCAAAGTCCAATCAGTTCAGCTTCCAAGGTTCCAACACGGCATCGAGTTGAAGTTCTTCATACCAATGTTGCAAATGACGGAGAATTGCCATAATTTCTATATTAATGTGCGTTTAATGCAAGTTCTTATATCTATGCATGAAATGATTGTCCACTGCGAAATATTTTAACAAGCAATACAAATCATTTGGAAATAACCCTTGAAGCAATTGGCACCGGACATCACACCCTTGAAGTTCATGTAATGGGCAAATTCAAGCAAATAATTGGAGAGTGTATCTAGCTCGTACAACCCAATCTCTCTTCGATTGGGAGGTACAGTTACTCTCCACACGCAAACTAATTCTTGCACTTCACTTACTGGTGCGGGAGACAAGCATTTTTAGTCCAGTGACCGTTGAACTGCATCTTCATCAAAGACCTTCTCGCTGTCTTGGGTATATCAGTTTGATGATAGTGTTCGATTTGACGAGAATCCAAACCTGAATAAATACTTCTAATGTAGAATGTTTTGCAGCCACTTGAGCAGAAACCTTCGGCATTATTGGTTCTTCACCATTCTTCATTCAGCATGTACGAGTCACGCAACACAGAATTTTGAGAGTGAAGAAGTAGCCTTCTTCATTATTTTTTACTTTTATGAAATGATCTCGAAGTAAACTTGTGATTAATTAACTCAAGTAAATTTTAACTCATGTAGTTAAACCCAAGTCAGAATTTAAGCTATGTTGTAACTGTAAAGAAGAGCTATCCAAAGCTCTTGACGAACACTTTAGAGTTTTTATGTGTAAAACTTTTCTGAGTTGCCGTGTACGTAATCTGCAATGACAAATCAAATACTTATGTGTTTGCTTCTTTGTATGTGATTGTATTAGAATTTTGGTGTGTCTGCGTTTATTCCTGTATGTGTTTGTTTATTCAATGTTTTCTCCAAAAACATCTCATAACTTGGTAGCGGAGCTACGTTAATCTAAAAATGGGTCGGCATATTGCTAAAATGTGCAGTAGTCTAAGACATACTCCTATACTCCTCAAATATTGAATCTAACATCATACTATTTATTTTAAAATTCAATAATCTATTAAAAAAACAAATATATTTTTTGAATTAAGTTTAGAAGCTCACAGCATGTGTTATGAGATGGATTAAAGAATGAAAGTAAATTGCAAATTTCAGATTTATTGTGATAATTTGATTTTCCGAAGTGAAAATTTTATTATAGTTCATTTCAATCTTAACTAGAGATAGGGATGAAGAATTTTTTTCAAATTGAAAGATAAAAACTTTATAATTTGGAATAGTTCGCCGCATAGTTTACAAATGCAACTTACCTTACACAATGTTGTGTTCAATTGAAGGAATTTTATTAGATTAAAGATAACTGTAAATTTTTATGCAAAATATAAGTCGCAAGATTGTTATGAGAACCATATAGTTATGATGGCATGATTTGCGTTCATTATGATCATTAAGTTAGAATTGCCAAATCTATCATAAATCATTCGATTATGGCTTCAATCCATCCTTACTTATTTATTTACAAATATGATCACAATCTTAAATTGTTTGAATTTCCTTGAATTGCTATAATGCATGATGACTTTGAGTGATAGATCCATTAAATACAATATGTATTCATTTTTCTCCCACCTAACCACAGAAAAATCACTCTCCACACGCGTAATTTTAGTATATAAACTAACAAAAACTCTCACAAACATGTATAGCTTGGAAAATCATGGTAAAAGAGTACTCCATGCTTTATGTAAATCTACAGATTCTGGCATTTGATGCATTATTTTGCAAAGTACATCTTCTCTTTGATAAGCAGTCCGCAATTTGTTCTCCTTCCACAACGTTAATGAACTTGTTGTTGAGTTTCTTTTCAAAACGAGATAGAAATCAAATGATGAGGTCCATCAACTTGATGCAAGTATAGTCACGAATTTCCGAGCAAGACATAGAAGTAAAGACGCTACCTATGCATTGTTACCAACCCTTTTTGGATTGATCATATGTATTCATGCTGCCAAACTAACAACTAGATTTCCAACCAAACAAATCACACCATTCTTCTCAACGTCATACAAGCTATCAAATGACATCGCAATAAACAAACTACACCATTAAACAAAATGCACAACAACGTACTTGGCAATCCTGTAAAAATTGTTACAAAAATAGATATCCTGATATTGTTCCTTGATTTGTAATTCGGAAAGTGTACTTTGCAATCCTATCACATCCTACAAATAGTGGATGAAAATATAAAAGACGACTTGCTACTGTGGAACTAGCAATGTAAAATGCTACAAGGTTTTGAATAGAATGTCAATCTCCGCAAAGATTGGTATTAATAAAAATAATGCAATTCACAACATGTCTGTGAGTTTATAGTCAGAATTTTTTTGTCCATATATTCAACAATACGACAATGATGAGTTGAAAACCAAAATAACATTTTTCATAACAATAACCATCAAGTCGTAACGACCTTCGAACATTTAGATTGCATTTTGTTGATGTGCACAAAATTATATGATAGTGGAAGTTAACGTCGAATAAAATTCTTTCTTGAGATTTACAAAAATAACGGGTTCAACCACAAGATCGAGTTGGTGTGCATCACACCCATATTAAATTAAGAAGCAAATTTCTTGTTAAATTCAATAAACAACACAAATCTTTATTTCATTTACTTGGCTTGTCATATTTTGGACACCATCAAAGCATTTTGATAAGAAAATATATCTCCAAAATAGACAAATTGAATCCATAGATTTTTCGAATTTCTCAAACAAGTGATCTCCAATATGTCGTCTGTAAAAAGGAGTACAACATGAATGAAAGCAATACAGTCTGCTGCCAATAACAAATTTCACTCAAACATCAATATACAAGGTGCTCTCAACAATTAATAAATTGAATGCAACAAAAAAGATCCAACAACCAACGATTATTTTGTTGAGTTTTTGAAGGCAAATGGCAACAACCATCTAAACAAAAGATGATACTTTTGCCTCGTTGTATCCGCCAAGATAACCAAATGCCAATTTTTTGTGTGCACATTTTACTTGGCGTGTCGTTAATCTGAACTACGAGCCAAAAGCATTACTCCCAATAAGATTGATAAGAACGGACAAGAACGATTTCATACTCAAATTCCATTCTTATTTATGACATCCAGCAAAATTCATTTATGGAAAATCTGACATGAGCGCAATCCAATGCCATATTTGAAGAGTCATGATTATGATAGATCAAACTTTTCAAATTAATTCTAACATGTGATAAATATATAATTAAGATTTGTGACAAATTTTGTACAGCAAAATTTGCATTTTACCTTCTCAAACAATGCATTTTTTGAGAGATCTGAAAATGTATATACTTCATTCACAACAAAACTACTAAATGGTTCAAGTTTTATTGACATCACACCAAATACAATAATTGCAGTTCACCAGTTACTTTTCAACCTAGTAAAGTTAACGAACATCCATGAGTATTTCACGACATGCAATCTATTCAATTGTACATTAGTAACAATGTGGAGAGTAAAGGTTGCATAGTAAACTCGCATAGTTTTCTCAAGGCGATCTGCTGGGAAGAGAGGAGCAAAGTCTTGGTGAAAATACAGTGTTGTCAAACAATGACTAACTTGAGAAAATACTGTAAATCCTTGTGTACAATGTATAGAATGTTCTCAACAATGAAGAGTAGAGCTTCACGGATATTTTGCAGCAAGGACCTGGACTGCCTCACCTACATTTTGGTGTCTCAACGATAGCGACAGCACTAACAATGCAGTCCAACAATCTACAGCAGTGTCAGACGAGAGTTCAATATCTCGTAGAACTACCGAGTAGACCACATACAACACTGCACCCAAGGAGATGGATGCCGACTAAGTTGGATGGAAGTTGGGCTACCACAAGGATCGGATCCTTGTGAGAAGAAAGGCCTTTCTTCTTTCACAAATTCCCATGTTACTGTACTCTGTACAACCTTTTGTTCTTCAATCGTTCCTAACATATTTTTTGACTGTATCTGCATTCGTCCCCATCTCAAATTCCTCCTTCCTTGGGTATTATTATCCACGAGAGCAATTATCCCTTTGTTACATGAAGCCTAGGTTACGTGTGATTAGATTATATCTACAAAATGTTATCTATATGGAAAGTTTCCCTTCATTCCATGAATCTACAGTACATCAAACTCCCAGATGGTATTCATTCTTGCTTCGTATGTTTATCAGTGAGCGTGATTTCCCATTTGTTCCATACAGCGGACCCTGCAATTCAATTCATTTTCCCTCTTCAAATCTTCTCGTTTGTACCTAAGAATAAGCCTTTAGGTACTTACTAATTCCTCAAACAACTCTTCTGTCTGCCCATGAAGGCCATTAAAGCTAGACAGCTACATAATTACCACTGGCACAAAGATAGGTGACTTTTATCTGACCGATTTGAGCAAAATTTCCCATCATATTGTCTTTAACACCAATTAGACATGAGAATGGAAGGTTGGAAGCACTGTGTGCCGGATTACCTTGAGGACTACTCCGCGTAAACCTTCGAGGGACATACCTGGGTCCTGAAAGGAGTCGGTTTTTGTGTGAATTTGATACATGAGACACTAGCAACGAACATTTCGCCACAGCCCCGTAACTCAGACTTCCGCAGATGGTGCGTGCATGTGATGGCAAAATCCAACTCCACAAACTCATTAGCACCTATTTTGGTCCTGCCCAGAATCCAAGAAATTATGCAGATAGGCAAGTAAACTACAGACAAGAGCCTCCCTGACTCACAACAACTTGCATTTCCTGCCTTGTGATGCATTACGAGTGAAGTCTTGTCTTATCAAGCTCAAAATATGCAACCTTGGTGGGCCATTGAGACGAACAGTCGTCTTGTTACAAACTTGGACAGGGACGTTGCATTGAGTGCACACTTGCTGCACAACCCGTGTCAGCGAGATCGACATGCTGTAGGGACTGGTCTCTGCTCTGGGTTCACAACGCGAACTAGCAAGTAGAAAATCAGTAGACTATAGGATGTATTGAATCATAATCTCAGAACTGAAAGTGTGGCGGTGCGGATGAGGATCACGTTCACACCTACTGCGAGATGCAAATACCTAAATTTCCACCTTTTTCATAGTACATCAGTAAACAACTGGCGTGCGGCACTGTAACGGATGGCTATTCTTCACAGTCGTTTTACAAGCACGAGTTACTGTTGATCTCAATGTTGCCCTCATGCCATCGCATAATGATGGGCCCGTGGGGCTGGCTATCGTCCCTTGTCCTCTGGTCGATAGTGACTCCGCAAGACCTGGTCCGTGGTGGCTGTTAATCCTGAACGATAATCAAACTCTGGCCTTTAGATACAACAACAAAAAATCATAAACGTTTAATAGGTAAGACTTCATGGAATGAGAGAGATGCATATGAGTTTGAAACATATCACCGGCTCGCGCAATCTCTTTAGTTGCGTTATTTGTTGCTCCCCTAGTGTCAATCTTAACAGACAATAATGTGTGATTTTAATTGAATACAACAAACAATATTTTTGTCTTGTACGATATAACAATTACACTGACAACAATGTGGAAGCCAACCAGGACAATCGACCATCTTCTGGACAATCATTCAGATACGACAGAATCACCTGGTTCAAGCAGAATTCAAGTTACTGGCACTAGAGGTTCACGGAGCTTCTAAATCTATGTACACGATCAATGGATGACCAGTGCATGCACGCCTTTCTCATACCTTCCTCCCCACACCCGGGAGATTTTTACTGCCCTTTAACACCTGACCAAATAGGTTCTTTTAATTGTTCTATAGTGGGCAGTTGCGTATAGACGAGAGATATGCTCCTGGGTGTAAAGTTTGCACACAATCCATAGGTGAAGGTCAGCGATTTTCAAGATTTGGAAACATACCTTTCCTGTTCACAAATTGTTTCGAACACATAAAGTGCAAGACCTAAAGTGAAGGCATGTGCCTTTTTAAAAACATGAAGGTGACGGAAAACACCAACCGGTAGGTCGGTGCTCCAAAGCAGGTAAAGTGGGAAACTGCGTCTTGGAGGCACCGACCTGCGGCATTTGTGAGCAGAATGAGACAACGATCAAAGCACAGTTGTTCACATATAATTGACAGCCCAGCTGTAGAGTGTGCTCCTTGAGGTGGGAACAGTCTCGGCTCCAGCTTTGGCATGGATTCAGATTAGACAGAATTTGCGATTCTATACAAAAATAAAGAACACAAACTTGCTTATATGATTGCATGTAAGACATGCAATCATGTGAATCTGCATGTTATCGGTGTTCGTACAATACCGAGGATCTCCACAGAGCAGAAGGGAACCCTAGCTGTCCCCACGGATTGCTCAGAATAGCGACCAGTGACATACAATGATGCAAAATTCGTTCTGCTATGAGAATCTACTGTGGTTAAGGTAGTAGTGGACTAAGCGTGCAATATTTTACAATCATGACAGCCAGACTACAAAATAATGGCATATTTACATGTGAAATCACGGATGAATTACCAAGGTTTAGAGAAGGATTTTCTTTCGTATGGAGACTTTAATGGATTTGATCGATATGTCCATTTTTCTTAGTGGTAACAATTATGTGTACCTACTCGGTGGTCGACACTAAACAGCTATCACTTCCCTGTGCACTACAAAGATGCTCAGTATGTATGTGTTTAGTTTCCAATGCAGTTCGTTAAAAAATTCCTGGTCGTTGTAATACCCAACCCCGCTTGCAGCTTCTAGCTCAACCATGTCACTTGATACAATCGGACACTACAGTGTCCTTCCGGTACAGCAGCAAAGGAAGGAAGAACGTGAATTAAGCTGACCCACATAACACGTTCAGCAATGAAAACAGTGTCTTTGAAAACTTCCAAGTCAAACATAGAAAACAGTGATCGATCTCTTTTAGCAACAGAACCAAAAAAGCCAGTATCCGAAGTCGAATTCGAACGAAGTCAGCAAAGATATCTTACATGTTGTGATTGATGTAAGTCGAATAATTGACCATAAAACCTGGAAGTTTACCAGACGGATCTTCGATTCGGCTCTTGGTCCAAGACCGACCAAGCAGGTAGAGTGCTGCAATCTTCCTGGAAGCTAGAGTGGGTGGGGTGGGGCTCGGTGTCAGCGGAGTAAAAACATCAGGATTCCACCTGCAACTGCAACATTTAACGACTCGTACTTTCCTGGCATGGGTATACCGACAGGAATGCAGTCCTTGACAATGTGGTCGGAGAGACCTTGTCCTTCACTCCCCAGGACTAGGCAAAGGCCTTGCTGGCATGAATTCAAGGGTTTAAGCTTGGAAACAATGCCCGCATCCATGTCTAGTGAAACTCGTCTACCAGCACCAGACTCATCTCCGCTTTCACTATTTCTCGTGGCTGGCGTCTCGAGTTCTATTTCTCCGCTACCACTTACAGGCTCTGGATCACCAGCATACAGCTTCAGACTGTTTGTAACAGCAAGTTCCTGTACGTGATGCCAATGTACAACTGCAATTGGAACTCGAAAGCACGCACCGCGAGATGCACGTATAGCCTTGTCATTAAACGGGTCACAGCAGCCTGGCAGCAAGAATAATCCATCCTGCAAGATGACATCACATGAAGCATCAATAAGTTCTTTTACCGCTACAATTTCCCAAACTCGTCTCAATCAAGACCTTAAAGAACAGCAGTATGTGATTATAGGTATGACTTCGTAGCTCATGAGCAGAAAAGAAAGCGACGATAATTAATCGATACAAGAGCATCAAGCTACTCTGGAGAAAAGCTTTCCGTCTGAACAGTAAATCTGCTTAGTCTGTATTTCTGCCCCGACGAGCAGTGGCTCCAATCAGACCGGCAGAATCAATGTTTAAGTCGAGGAGTTTGGAAGGTGACGAGCAATACAAGAAATTCAGCCATAGCAGTAAATATTCACCAAGCAAGGGCTTTCTCCATATCGTCATTACAATACCCGCAGGAAATAAGGATGATTAATTTCATTTGAATATTTGTGACTCATTTTTTCCAATTCATCCTTTGAGGCGGAAGAAATGAGTCACAAATTACTTGCGCGGATAAGAGTGCTGGCGTTTCTGTCATAGTTTCACAGCCTCAAGTTGGCAAATTTTACGGACTACATATGTTGTAAATTGCTGTTGTCTCCCCAGTACCTATTAAGGCAAAAGTAGCGGCAAAAATAACTTGATACTCGTGTGAGCAATTCTAGTTGATCCCATTCACCTTCATCACCTAAGTATGGGAGACCAGAAGAGGTGCCCCCTGGAAGTATCCAGGTAGAAGAGGCCAAACGTGGAAAACGGAATTTTAAAACGAGCTATTAAGAGTTAACTCAAATATTTTTAGCGAGCTTTCGTTTCGACCAGGAGATGTAAGGATGGCTGTTGCGTTTGAGTTGAGACAATGGAGGACACTGCATCCCAGGTCAACGGTGTGACAACGATCCGACGCAGTAACCGCAAGACAGTGTTGTAGCCAACTCACCCATGCAAAAGCGGCAGCAGTGCGTATAAGGGTACCCAAATTGCCCGGATCCTGCAACACAAATCCACAGTCACTTTCCTCTACGAAAATTTCGACCGTACTACCTGACGAGCGTCACAGAAATAACAATCAACACAAAAATAACCTTGTAATAACGACGACACCATGCACTGAAACTTAAGATGAAGATGATGTGGACCATATGTAAATTACCGTCAAAACGACAACGCCGGCTTTGGCTTACAAAAGTTGTAAGAGCACACAATGACTAAACAACGAGCAGGAATGATAGAGACCTTATGAAGATGATATGGGAGAAAACAGCGCTTTATGGGGTACAGCGGTGCACCTGTATAGCGTCGAGAACGAGAATGCGCCGTGGTGACGGACACAATTTTTGCAATCGAGAATTCGCTGAGAGCTTGTCTTGGTCGAGCTCGAGTGTAGTGAATGAAGATGGATAACTCAAAACTCCCAGAGCTTCTGGAGGCGAGTCAAGACCTGTAATCTTGGTCATGACAGCCACACTCACCCGTACAACCCTCTGAGAAAATCTGGTTAGGCCTCCAGGAGTCTCGGCATCATCTCTCACGAGGAGAACATTGATCAAATTTGGCCCTCGCTGCCCCTCCGCATCAAACTCTACAGATTCACATATCTCCCTTCAAAACGTGCACACACCTCACGGCCTCAGTCGGTGTCATACTTTTACATTCCCTATCATCAAGGAGCAGTCTACATCAAACTCTTACAGACGAGAAAAGAGAGATATCAGTGATCAACAGATACCTCAAAGGAATGGTGCCCATGACCAACACAGATGATGTAGAATGGCGGGTGGCAGCATTCCGTCGCAGTTTCACTAGATGTTTCACGTAGGAGTTCCCTAGGCTGGAGATGTAGTCAACATTACTCGGTAAGCTAACAACAGCAACATCATCTTCAGCTGGTGCAAGCGACACATTGCTTTGTCCTTTCGTTCTGCTTTGGTCTTCTCGAGAAACATCTCTGCCTTTCAATCCAGCCGCAAACACGCGCGTTGCCTTTGCACCGGGGCCGGAGGTTCCAGACCACACCATTTGTTTCCCAACAGCTCCCGTCCAATTCGGTGCTCGCCACCGCGTATAGGAGCTGTCGTTCCCATCCCTCCCCCATGCACAAAGCGGCGTTCCAGAGCAAGCGATGACCACAGAAGGGCTCACCATGAAGTGCAAACTGCTCTACCGCATTCTAGCACCGGAGTCGATTTCGCCTGATCATACACAATGCATGACGGTTTCGGGTGACCGAGCAGTGCTCAGAACAACTAATCCTCCCTGGACGACGCAGAAAGAAAGCAAAATTCGTCAAAACAACTTCAATTCGCCATGTCCTCACATGCTCGTTCCTCACCCTCGTGCTCGGCTCTACTCTGCGATGCATCACTATCAGGACACACCGGTGCATGGAGAAACTAAAATTTCGGTGCACTACGCAGAAATGCAGAATTGTTCACCGCTACTTCGTCATTGCGGGTAGCCATTCTTCCCTTCCCTCCTGCAGCCCGAACTCACCGCGAGCGATCGGAGCGAGAAATTCCGCCTTCTCGGTCTGTTGTCCTCCCGTTTGAAATTCAAAGTCCAAATCTCGAAGTCACCATTGCTCCGTGGTCCATGCTGCAACGCCGCCCGAGGTCCCCGCTTAGCAATCGCTGCGCCTTTCAAATCGGGCAGCATCAGCGGCGGCAGCGGGAGTACGGCAGGAAAACAGAGCGTGTGTTCTTTCCGTCCGTCCAGCGTGAATGGAGACGGATGGAGACGAACAAACGATCGACGAAAACCGAGTCAGTCGCTTGGCGCATTCACATTCAAGTGACACGACCTGCACCGATGAAGAATGTAGTCAGTCATCTTGAGAGCTTCCCAGGACTGTAAAGATAGCGCAAGTTTATGAAGAATCTCTGCTGAAAGAAGACGGTCATGATCTTAAGCTCTCCGTACCAAAAGTTAAAGAATGTCATTATCGTAAGTACGTTGCAGTCCGGGACAAATGCGTCCATTTAAATCGGCGGATTCAGCTCGTTTTCTCAAGCCCAGTTGCGAATGTACTTCATTCTGATACACATGTATAACGGTCACGAGGAGCGAGAGTGGCCCTAAACCTATGATTGGTACTCGTCGAAGCCAATCGATAGCTAGCCTTACCACCAGGGATTTCAGAGCATCATCATTCACCGATCCATCTGAAACATTGAGAAACTTGAGGAGCTTATGCAGCATGTTTACTACCCTTCGATGGTAATCTTAGGAAGCTAAACTGAATCACGATGGATCGTCGGTATTAGATATGGTCTTATGAGGAATTAGAATTTGGCCCTGTAGACAATAAAGGACTCCGGAGAAACATCGATATTTCCAATGAAATACTGGGATTGCAGATAGTGGTTGTTTGAAACTTGCAAGGTTTTGCAAACGTTGCTCAACTGTCTATTTCCAACCTGGTACAAATTGAATTAGGATCAGATGTATAACTCTGCGTTACCACATAACCTGTTCATATTATTTGACTTATTTCATGCATAATCTCAAATAAAAATAGAAAGCCGCTAGTCACCACTCCCTTTCCGCTTTTCACCACTCACCCCCAATTGAAAAGAACACTGCGCACTTTTCTCGCACTCCGATGTCTCCGCTTGCTGATCTCTGTTTCCCACTCACCCCCAATTTAAAAGAACCCCTGCGCACTTTTCTCGCACTCTGATGTCTCCGCTTGCTCATCTCCGTGTCCCTGACCCGGAGATCGGAGCTCAAACCGTAGAGGAGGTAGAGTGCCGACTCGAAAGCGACCATTTGCCGGTCTCAGAGTGAGAATTCGAGCAGCATTGTTCTCAGAGTTCGAGTTCGAGCAGCATTGTTCTGTATCGGGAAGCCGAGCAAGGAAGCAGCGATGGCGTCCACCGGAAGCGATGTGCGAGCGCTGCTTTGGCGTCGACCGGAAGCGACTGCGAGCGCTGCTTTGGGTCGCTGTCATGCTTACTGTTCTTTAAAATTGAAGATGAGTGGTGAATAGCGAAAAGTGAATGGTCCCTAGCGACATATAGACACATCTCTTGATTCAACTGGTTCTACATTATCCGAAGTTTTCCCGGAATTGGTCGGAGCAACCCGCGAGACAGTATTTACTGCTGCCAGACCGCTCCCTATGTTGACAGTCCGACTGGAGAGATTTTTCTAATTTGAAATATCCTTCATCATTTTCGACCCACTGTATGTCGGCCTCGTACTCACATTTCGTCTGCATTGATACACATCTCTAACATCCCATAATAAAACAGACTGCAAAGGGATGCAGCAGGCAACCTGCGGGCAGATCTGAGCACATGACTCCTTCGAGCTTGTCTTCTCTACAGCTGTTAAGAATGCTCGATTCCATGATCAAGGTGAACATGACCAATAAGATACGATACAAATCATACTTGTGCGTCTTCTTCTGTTATAAAAATATCTACTCGGGAAAGAGATCATCAAGGTACCGGTGGCTCACGTTCTCGACAAGAGAAGCTGAATTACAAACGTAAATACATGTAGATATATTTAGTGAATGAAGCCACTCAAGTCATAACACATTTCATGATCTCGAACTAAAATTTGTATCACCATGCATGAAGCTGTATAAGAGGAGACACAAGATCCAGGTGTTAAACTCTTTCATCTCATCATAGTTCCAGGTCAACTGAAAGGTAGCTAATTTCAAAACATAGGTCAAGTATCATTAAAGGCTTCTTGACCCGGAGGATAAGAAAATGATATCTCTTCTCTCACACATCTTCCCTCGTGGGTGAATCCCACTGCTATTCCAGAAGGCTTTGTCCCCCCAGAACTAATATTTCCACATAGTTATGGTTCTAATGCTAACAAAATTTAACTGTTTTTTTCAAGTGAAATCTACTACATCAGTAGTAATACATCTCAATATGCCAAATGAATTGAATGGGTGGATGGGAAGTAAACGATCACTATAGATACAACAAATCCTATTGATACAAAACTGCACTACTCTTAAGAAGCATAAGGAGATCATCTCCTAGCACGAAAAAGAGACAGCTCCAAATCAGCACCTCAGTTTCTCGGACTTCATGTGGGTCCAACATCCTTACATGAGTACTCCTTCCTTCGTCTGGAGATGCCATTGTGTAAATTTGACGGGACTCGGTGCCCGAAGTCCGAAGGTACGTGGTACGTGTACCAGACAGTCCACATGGGTGCACAGGCTAAACATCTTCAAAGATTCGAGGATGCTAACTTTGCAGTATCGTAAGGGCCTTCGTAGGACCCGTTGGCACTGAAGAATCTTCCAGTCTGTGAACCCGTCAAGGAACAGCCCAAGAACGTCACAGCCCACCATCTGTCATGGGGTAAATGTGGACACAACTGGGCCAGAAATACACATTTGAGGAGCAGCTGGCTTTTTTAACAAGAACAGGTGAATAACGGGAACCAAACCAACCCGTTCGGTGGTACTCGTGACATTCCAGCAGGTACTTACTTCCTCCTTTTGCTCGCAAGTGATCATGGAAAGTACGGCGTTGAGAATTCACAGAGCTTTTGCCTTCCCTGCACAACCGGCAAAACAAGGGACCACTGAATCATGAACATCAATTCTCACCGCGTTGTAGCTCTAGCATCACAGCACATGCTGGAATCTGTGAGCCCCTAGGAGAGACCAGGGTTTCAGTGCAACCCATAGACGCTGAACGCATGCTGCAATGAAGCATACCCAAGTGCTACGAAGGCCGGATTCATCGCCACCCTCACATTATTCGTGCGAATGCTCTGGACCCATCTGAGACCGATCCCGTATCTTTTCTAGGACATTCCGGCTTTTCTCCTCCAGTTTAGTACCCATTTTTTTTCCAAAACCAAGTACCTTGGAACGTTTAGAACCAGGTACTCTGCTTGAAGCCTGCCTTTCCAACTGATCCACAACTCCTTGGTTTACGTGCCCGGACTCACTGTCAGATGACGATGCTTGTTGTGCTTGCCAAACACTGACATGCTGATTTTTTTCGGGGGGAAGGCAAGCTATCTCTGACACTCTAGTGGATGCTTCCAGTAGCAGTCCCTCCTTCTCTAGCAGTGGCCTTCTCAGGTCGTACTCAAGCGTCGTGTCTACATGCATCTCAGGTAGTGACAGAGACCCAACAGATCTTTTAAGGGGTGATAAAGGAGGAGAAGGTGAGATATCCTGCTCATACTGAGAACTTATACCTGGAAGGCTTTTAGATGGACCCACCCCCGCACCCGACGTGTCTATGCGAGTGGTGTCTACACTACCTTCTTTTCTCAACTGGCTTCTTTTTTCGTCCCGGCGTTCCTTATCATTATTTTGATCTGATGCTTGCTCACTGACGAATGGCAATGGGACGGCGTCTCTGGGAAGCCAATTATCTTTAACGGACATCATCCATGAGTAGGATAAATCCTCAAACTGTGGAAAAACCATAGTGTCTCGAAGAAGAATCTGCAATGAGGGCAAACAACGACAATTTGTTTCATAAGTAAGCGTATGATTCATCATCCATATCACTGAGAGCAAAAGTTTTGCAAGTTGAGCTTGTGCCCTAGCTTGTTTGTCATTGTGAACACACTAGACGGTAAAGAAGGACTAGAGGCTACAATCATGCTCATCGATAGCAAGACAAGAGTGCAGACCTTGATTTGATTGACAATAAATTGACCGAGAGGACCGCTACTGATTTTGTGGTCTCCAATACATGGCTCTGGTACCAGCTCCAACGTGGGCATCTGAGTGAAACTGAACCACACGCGATCCGACGGTGGTGGCTTTATGCGCATTTGTAATTTACCCCTCACCTGCACTACTTTTATAGTCAATGCCAAAGGCACCTGAAATATACCAAACAAGATCGTCAATACACAACACGCAATCCAAAAAATTGGAGTCTAGCTTGTTTAGCTGTCATTTCTACCGATTTGCGTTAACCAGTACTTGCAGTAATGATACATCAAACGTGGAAAAATCGTCAGTCATCTAGTTTCATTATCGGCGCTTCTTACTGACCTACATACCTCGTTCTTAGGTATGTTATATCCATGCACCACTCTGGCGTAACAAAAGAGTGCTTTTGCCCAGCTGAAAGATGATAAACAAAATACATGGAAGTCGTCTGATCTCTTGCATGGCATGTTGTGATCTTTCGTTCCTGAACAGATTTCATAAAAAGGAACTGAAAGGAGAGAGAGAGAGAAAGAGAAAGAAAAGCAACCTGAGAAACCTGCTCTGCAACCTTTGACATGATAGATTTAACATTGGTTAATTGCGAGTGCATCCAGCCCTTACGACTAGCTTCCTCTGAGCTTCTGACATCTGCTGTTGAGACAAATTGCACGTAGACAACATCCCACAACTTTTGATTACTCTCCGTTTTTTGAAGACATGAAATTTTAAGGCGAGCATGAAGATGTGCAGACCTTCCCAAACTTCTCTAAAAAAGGAGTCATTCAGCAGGTTTCCTGCAAATACAAAAAACAAACTTCTGACTCGTGTGTGCCCCACTAAACTGTAGTCATTCATCTCTGCTTGCGACAGTCTTGAAGAACGTAAAAGCCCGCGCTATCTTGAGTCGTGCTAGCGGCAACTGACTAAGAAGACCAAGAAGTAACGATGAGACGGAGAGGGACTGGGAGGACAAGGTGAAGCGTTTCCTAGTGAAGATGCAGCACATCAAAACTGGTCACAAGCAAAGCTTAACTGTTCAACCATGAGTGCCACAGTGATTTACCTGGCCTGCTGCTACTGGATGTGCCACCTGAATTTCTTTGATCAGCTGAGGGATTTCCTTCTTGGACATTAAGGTTTAACTCCTCTGAATAAGTCTCTAGCCCTTTCGCCAAAAGGTCTGCAGCAGCTGCTCCAGCTAGTGTCGGTTCGAGTCCTTGAGCCACAACCTTCTCGCGAGAATTAGAGTCTCGTACATCTATACGAGTCTCAATCGTCAGAATTGCTCCTCCATGATACTCCAGATCGGCCTCCAACCCCCACGAACCTTCCTCGTTAACAGGAAGAAGGGTCATATTGCGGGCCAAAGGTGGAGAATTGCCCAAATCCAAATGAGTACATTCGATTTTTCCTATGTAATTTGGAGTAGGCACCTTAGATAGTTGTCTCTGAAAAGGTAAATCATCACATCCAAAGTGTTACACACATATACTCGCAACGTAGATAAAAGCAGACAAGAGAAAGCGACTGTACAAGTTCAAGTCTACACCACTTACTTATAGCAATCATAGATGAGCATGGAACTTTCATGACTATGTATAGAACCCTAGTAATACAAGCTCACAAAGAAGACCAACAGAGGACTTGAACCGTTTAAAACTGTATGCGAATCCGAGACCTCAGGGACAGGAGACCTGCCTGGAGTATGGACCGTATTCGAGAAACAACTCTTTCGCTGTGATATAAGTCAAAGAATAATCGGGCAAATAATGTATTGACGCATAGGAGGGCGGGTTCCATAGATTCCACAGCAGGATCTCTCTCGATGAAATTCGATGGCATAGATACGGTCCTGAAGATTTCATCCTTTGCAAGAGACGCTTCCGGTACAAAGTCTTCCGTGGAACTGGCTGCGAGAACTGCGTCGCCGGGACTCCCGCCCACACTAGAATTGGAACCTCTGCTGCTGCCCTCCTCTGCGACTGCCATTTCATCACCTTTGACGACATCTTGTCGACCGTCGGAAGATTTACTCTCTCGTCCACTTTTCCCATTGCGACGTATGAACTTCTTCCAAAGCTGGCGCGACTTTTTCAAACTCGAGGAGTTCGGCTCGCCTTTGAGCGCCTTCATACGGTCGTCTACCACGTAAGCAAGTCTGCCAGAGTTGGCCAAACTGAAGAAGGGAAACTGATTCTCCACTCGAAGTAAATACTCTTTGTACTCTTTCTTCTGTTTGAAAAACGGGTCCCCTTCGTTGCTCTGCGGTTTAGCGGCGGCACGAAGGGCTTCACACCATTTTTCCTTCTCCCAGCCAGTATCGAGATATAATAAGCAATCATGCGATCCTTTGTATACTTCCCGGCTTGCATGGTGAACTTTCAAAGGGAATTTTTTCGCCCTACAAAACCAAAAATTGGCAAATATGAAAACCGAAATTAGTCAAATTCTGAACAAGTTTTACTTAAACATGAGTCCCATGCAATATTGGTCCCCGGCTGAGTACTTGAATATGAACGTGAACACCTAAATCCAATTGCAAGTGGAGACGGCAATCCGATGCACTTTCGCAAGAAAATTACGCCTGTGATGTCATATCTTCATGTTCATGTCGACGAAGGTGCAAGATCAGCTCAGTCTTCAATGAAACCATAGATCTAGTCATTTTGAAATGAATGCCCAGTGGTCCATAGGGTAAACCTGCATTCACCATTTGCGAGTAGGTTCTGTAGACCCAGAAACTGCGAGTACTACGCAGCCTTCGAGCCGGACATGCTCCCCTGTTGGAGCTCCTGGACCACTCAAATGCAGTATGGTGCCATGCAGCTTGGCTCTCCTGAAGACGGGAGTTATCTGAGTATAATCCCTCAAAACATCACGTTTAGACTTGGAGTCTTTAGAGCCCTTCTCATTATCATTCTTTTCTTCCTTTGCAAGCTTCTCTCGTAGAGCTTTCTCCCGTCTAGTATACATCTTCTTGATATCCCCAAGTGGTAAAGCTGTGATCCACACACCACCCTGCGATTCATCAAACGGACAATTCCCTTCATATTCGACAATTATCTACCAGAAGTTTTTCAAAGGCATTGTATATCAATCACTTGAGCAGTTTCTCGCATACAGGACAAGCTGAGCTACGAAGTCCCTGAAGAGCCGTTCACAAGTAGGGAAGCTATTATACAGTGTAGTTTTCGCGTATTCTACACGATTGTGCCTTCCGTAGGCCACAATCGTGAAAAGGAATCTTCCTCCACCTGCCCTCATAGACTTCAATCATTGCTTCTGTCCTTCAAAGTTCAGTAGCATCTTCAGAACTTTGATTATAAATCGCTTGTTTTTCTTCTTTATTATTTTGCAATCCAACATTATTGAAGAGCACGCATCCTGCTTCTAGGACTGACGCGCATATTGAAGTGCATCAAGGCATCTCAATCGAATACAAATAGAGAAATCTTTGGGCCCTGGCGCGATTCAACAAAATCAAGACACCAATTCAGGTTGAAACTTTCACCTTGAAGCTCTGGCAGGAAAATAAAAGAACTGGAGACTGAAAGTTACATGCAGAAAGAAAGGTGGGAAAATGCACCGTGAGTTTGATGTCTAACTTATTCTCTGGAATTTCGACAGAAACTGAGGACGAATGTGGAATAGAAAGCCTCTGTTTTTTCTCCACGGAACGCATCACCACAAACATTACAACCAGAGCTTCGATCAACAGAATGACAAGAACTCCGCTCAAAAACGCCGACCCGCATCCGAACATGGCTGTCCACTTGTAATATCTTGCCGAGTAAGCAGACAGGGCAGCGACCACGCTGTCCGACGTAGAGTCACCGTCCCCTCCGCTCATTGTTAAGGGCGTCCCTTTCTTCACCAGCCAGACATCCCCTGACTCGCAAAATCTCGACAATTCTTCAAGTCTGTATCGTACAACCCAGTGGTGACCAAACCGTGAGTGGCGCCTTTTCACTCAAATCTATAGAAATCACCATCCGTGAAAAAAATTGCCCAGCATCATCCACCGGCCAGATTGCTCAGAAATAATTCTCACATATGATCCCACAACAACTTAAGATGCAAACTTTACTTGAACTGCAACCTCTGTTGATTCCGGCACTCCTCACTACCCTCCCTCCCTCCCTCCTTCCACGTATGAAGGAGCTCTGTCACATGAATGCTTCCATATTTCCAAGGTACATGCTTCTGGTGATTCAAAGTAATGAAATCCGCGTTATGACATGTCCATCTCATGATTCAAAACCTCGTCATTACCTCCCCATCGTATGCACGAATCGACGGGTGACCCTCTACATGGTGCTATCAATCGAATCAAAACCATGCGCCAATCCCCGCACGATGCAGTGCGGAAATTCCTCTACTCGCCCCACTTGATGAAGTGCCATCTGTTTCTGTCGCCAAAGAACCTTGAAGAAATCGAAACCCACTGAAAGAGAGCTACCCCAACACCCAGCCAGCCATACAAAAGCCAACCAGGGTGAGAGAGAGAGAGAGAGAGAGAGAGAGAGCCCGCAAGTCACTATGTCGGTATGCCCAGGAACAGGAGAGGAGCAAGACCAATTACGGTGTGGACCACCACTCCGAACCACACCATGCACCACACAAAGCTCTCATCCCAAAGCAAAGTTCTAATCCCAATTCTGCTTCTTAGATGCAGAGGAATGAACAAGGAGATGATGCTGATGACGATGCTCCATGGATGAATGAATGACCCGAAGGATATAAATAGAGTAATCAAAAGCAGAAAACAAGAAGGCCAAAGGGTGCAAGACGCAAAGCCAGGCTGCCAGCGGGAGACTTGTTCCCACTCCAAGCCAGACTGCTATCTCGAACCACTAACCGCAGTCACAATTAGCGTCCTGGTCACAGTTAACCGGGTCTGATCTCCCTCCCTATGTTTCGGAGGAATACAATTGTCTGACTTCGGTTAATAGGTCCTAAGGAGTTCCTGAGTCCCGGCAATGCTCCGAACCTCCTCTCCTGTCGTCTTTCAAGCGAAGGAAGGTTTTGTCACCGTAAAGCGTGGCAGTGCTGCAGAATTACTTTCTATTGTGACAGTGCCGCAAGATTTTGCCGCAGAACAACTTTCTACTATGACAGTGCCGTGAGATTCTCCTCGTATATTGAACAACTGGGCTACAAGACATCCAAAGGAAACGCGCCACGACCAACCGCCAAATTTGGTTCTTGTCGGCAAGGAGACGGAATACATTTTCTGACTTTTGGGGCTGAGGAACTTGTAAGTGCTGACTGTGAATAAAGAAGCTGTTTTCTACCTTTCATGCCTAGACCTTGATTCTGGGATCGGATGCCACCTCCCTCTGTCCTGCACTTCTTGCGTTATTCTGTGGAGTTTGACCTGGTGTTACTACTTGCAATTCCGATCACATCCACAGTTGAAATTTGTGTCCAATTGATGGTTGTTGATGCCCATTATTCTATCCTACATGGAGTTGATTGATTCAGTATTTCTATATCTTCCAAGAGATATGAAAGAGCCAGGAGAATGGCACGTTTTCCATAAATCATTCAGATCATGTATTAGAGGAAGGATTGATTTAGAATGGATTCCATCAATCCCGAAAATTTAGTCAGAATGTGTATTAATTATCATATTCATAATGGAAAGAGATGGACGAAAAACAGCAAGGTCATAGTTATGGTGTTTCTCAGAAATCACTGCGAGAATATTGTCTAGCTTGGCATAGAAGAATGGTATTAGAGTTTTGAGTCATGAAATTTATGTTCAAGCATCCGACAGAAAGCTACGATCATGCATAATATGAGATGAAATATCAGTATACATGCTATTCTTCAACTACACACATTTTATTGATGGCATGTAGCTAGTATAAAAGTCGAGGAAGACTTGAAGGTCTTTCAGGTCAATACAGATTTAATGATATTGAATCTTAAATTCGCAAAGAGTCGTTTAACATGTCTCATCTTTCAAAGATGATAACATTATAATGATATTTTCTTTCAAAGTCCTTAGCTGAACTTAGGCTGAAGTACATATCACGTAGTAAAGCCTATTTTCTCCTTCTTCTTTAAGAGGCCAAGAGAAAAGTCAATCTGGAGCAAAGATTTTCCTTCACATGGAAAAATAACTAATATGGAAGTGCGAGGTAATCTTCGTTCCACATTCGTGCTATCATCTTGAAGAGATTCGGGATATCTCTGGACTAGGTGGCACCAACCAATATGATAAAAGCAAGACCACATCATGGGCCGCGCATAGCTGAAACCAGAATTACAATATGGGTTGCCCAATATCACAATGGAAATTAGACACTATTATTTAAAAAAATATCATGACTATAATATAATAAATTTATGTTGTGACTTCAAAACTCTAGATGAAGATTATTTGCTAATTAACTAATAACACTTTGACCATGTAAGTTCATTCTCTTCAATCCGAATCAAGAGCTGAAGTGTACGGAACTACAATGTCTGCGTGTAGAGATCAACAACAAAATTTTGCTGTAAAAGTAATATAGATGAGCATTCACGCTGATGATGAACTCACCAACATGAAGATGCAGGTTTCGACATAACGAACGGACTGTGTACCATGGGCATTTCGAGAACCCAAATTTGGTAAACATATTCTTCTTCACGCCACCCTATCACAGTGGCTCAGAGACGAGAATGTAATAAAACGACTTTCGATGTAAACGATTTGCGGATTGTTGTAAGGGATGCCTTCTATGAAGACCCACAGGATTGACCCAACCTATTGCACGTGAGTGCCTTATCACGTAGTCGTATTTTTATTATATATGTTATGCACAAACGAAATTCATTAGATTAACAATTTCAGCGGGCGCTTGTATGGCCCTGACGTCGACTGTGTGGGATCGTGAGCCTATTGGATATCCTACAGTAAAAGAAACCAGGTACGGTAAATTCCCCTATCAATGAAGGTGTATCCCGATTGGCTATTTGGACCTGGCAAACTCTTGTACAGTGTCCACAGTATATACCTTGTATATCTCTTACTTTGCAACGTGGAGAGCAACCTGTTGTACAGCAAGTTGAGACAGAAGTGTTTAAAGTGGGGACTCGCTTCAAGAATTGATAACTGGAATGGTACCTGGATTCTTTGGAATCGAAAATTTGACAAATGTCGAGCTCGAGTTCGGACGCCGCACCGCAGAGACCGCAACAAGGATCAAACGCGTCGGGATCGGGGTCCAGGTACAGTACGACAGAGTAAGGACTCTGTTTTTCGTTGTCATTCTCGGACATGGTATTTTCACCCGCAGACAGGAAGTGGGTTCCTAGACTCACAGAACAAATAACTTTCCCAACAATCCGGCTATCAACACCGAAGAACGCCTAAGACTTTTACGTCCCCTAGCCTTGTAAGTGTTACTTTGTATGAAAAATTGTTCTTTCTTTTCAGCCCGCCAATAAATCGTGTAACCAAAACACCAATTGATTCTTACAGACATCAAACGATTTGATACTTTACAAAAATTTCTTAATGATGAAAAAAAACTTTGAACATTTGGATATGGCTGGGATAAAATACAACCATATCCATAAAATACAAAATACAATTCACACCAAGTAAGGTTTTATCAATAAAAAATCAAAGCCACACATACCTTTTTTTGATACTATGAAACACAACTTAGATACATTATTTCGAGTAAGGGGTAATGTGTGTTGTTGGAATGTATTAGACTTTCTCCCCTTGTTTCAGTACAACTATGATTACACAAATGTTAACTACACATGAAAATTAGTAGCCGGCTCGTTTCTTAAATTGAAAAGCATGTATTTTTAAGCCTGCCAGCTATCCTTATTTTTCAGCATATATTTTGAAATGTTCATATGTAGTTGTAGATGAAGAATATTAATGTATACTACCGAATATTAAACTATTTGACTTTTAGTTAGATACCGACGACTTTGTTCATTTTTCTCAAGTATGTGTGCGTCAATATACAGTACGCAATTGTATTTTTGCGTATTAACGAATGATCAATCGCGGTAACCGGATTTCTCCTAAAAGTGTATTGTACAAACAGCTACAAACTTTAATGTGCAATAAATCCAACTTACTACATACCTGCACCTCCATATTCGCATGTACCTAATTGCTCAGGATTTTGATTTTTATATTAATTTAATTTATTTTAATAGATGGATGATTCTTCATCGTTACAACGAGAAGAATTATATCATTATCATCATACTTACTTTCATCAATACAATCACTAATCGCTTTTTACAGAAATCCAAAACTACAGTTATATTCTACTTGGCTCGAGCATTGAATAAAATCTGAAAATAAATCTTGAAAATATATTTCAATTGATTATAGGTCAACATTTCAGTATTTGATTTTAAAAACAATTTGAAAATCTAAACCTTGAAAATTTGATGCTGGTTGGAACTTGAATAAATGCTGGTTGGATCAATCAGTGCATTTATTCATTCTGAAATCTATATGTCATGTCTAGAAAATAAAATTGTTATTGGTGTGTATTTTATTCTAGCATTTCTATCTATGTACTGAAATTAGTCAATGTATGCAACATTGAATCTTTAGACGAATGTACATTAATATATATCAAAGCAAATAATTTGTGACATTGTAAAAATTTGAATAAAATCATTCATAATATTACATATCAATACATAATCAAGCTCATAGTGAAGATACAGATCTCATTATCTTAACAATCTTTATATATTATGTTAAATATATAAATATTTTACTTGGAAAAATATATACACATATTTCTATGCATGAACATCATCATTTAATATGAAGACAAATTGTCAAACAAGTATTGCTATTGAAGATATTTTTGTTCATTCAGCTATACAAGCTATTGAAGCACAAGTAATTGATATCATTTTCAATATTATAATTTTCTTGAAGAAAAAAATATCATATTCATAATTATCATGATGTATATAAAAAATTATTTCTATTTGTGAAAGAATAATGTCATATTTTCACATTTTCAAATTTTAAATTTTAACTTTAATGTATAATAAATATTGATAAAACAAACGTAATTTTTTAATCATTGATTTTTTATCAAATGAAAAAAATAATATTATATTTTTATTACACAATATTTTGATATGAAGCTATATCAAATAAATTTATCATCATGCAATCAGTGTAGAGTTAGTATTTAGGTTTGGGGGATCAAGCTCTTAATCGATGCTTAAGGCAACAAATATTTCACAAAATATGTGCACAAAATGCTTGATTTTATTTCTGACTATGCAAACAAAAGCTTTACATGTTAGTTGTCAATCTAAAATCTCAATAACATCAACGGTATATTTTGCACTAGTCATTTGAAATGAGAACAACGTGTGATCATTGCATAATCCTATCAATAATGTTAAAACTCAACATACTATCTACAACTTTTCTTCTCAATCTACACATAGAGTGTGTTGTTCAGGTTTTTATTACTCATCTTGCTTCAAAGTCTTCTTTTGACTATCTTCAAGTGCCAAACAAATTACTTCAGCCGATGCTATAATCAATTGAAACACTATAATTTAGTATAGCACTATAAATTGTTAATCTCAACCAATGAAGCACAACAAGTACAATGTACATATATTATTTTAAGATTTCATTATATTTAGAAGTTATTTTGAAAATCTTGTGTTCACTCATATTATATTTTGTCC